TGCAGAAAATCGTTCAGTCTACTATTGAATAACGGTATCTCAATGGATGGTGATTTGTATATACCTATTATTTGTACTTTTCTGTTCCTGAATTCGACAATTACTTTCAAAGCTTTTGTTTCATGGATGTCAATTATTTCAAAATATGTGCTATAACATTTCTTAGTATAAACCAGAACTCCATCGTTTTTGTTAACCTTCCCTTCGTTGTAAAATAGGTTATAATTGGGTATTTCTATAAGGTTCGTATCATTTACTGTAAACGTTTCACTTAGTATCAATATGTCAAAACACTAGTCTAACATTTGAAGGAGAGCACATAGTTCATTGATATTTTTTTGAATGCTCCTGATATTAATGTGAAGCACCTTCAGTTCGGGTTCTGATTTTGTTCTAAGAAAATGTTCAGCATTTGTCAAGTTTGCAAGTACTGCAGTTTTGACTTTTTGTACTTTAAAATCTCTTATATAGGTGTCCATATTTATTTATATGCAATATATAACAACGACAAGACACAAGTTTGCACTAATTGTCCACTAAAACATCTATCATTGCAACTATAATACATTACGTATTGAAAATAATGTTCGTGATATATCATTAAAGAAAAACGTTAAAAAGGATTTATAAAAACCGGCAGGCCATAAATACCACCTAACAACTGCCTGTCAATAAGGGTAGAGAGGTATCAGATCATAGAAGTTAAAATATCAAGATCTAATACTATACATATAAATACACATACACACATATTCATATATTTTTGGTTTTTCACTTTTTTTTAATGTGCTTTTTTATACTTGTTCGTCTCTACACTGTTCACTGTTAAACACTAGTATATCTCTTTTACTTATTCCCTCTGGATTGACTTTGTAGCCTTGTCTTTCTTGATTGCTGATCCATCATCTGCTTGCTTGTTTCTTGTTTCGCCTTCTTAGCTGGTGGCTTATCTCCAGGTGACAGGCTGGGTCTTGAAGGAAGAACAGAGCTTACTGGAATGGTGCTAGTCATTTCATCAACGATTGGCTTATTGAAAATTTCAACATTATCTTCCGAGTGACCAGAGGGCGTGGTTGGAATGCTCTGAGCGTCTAATTCTTCTATATCAGCTTCACCTTCTAATGTATCGACAGTGTACGAGTCTCCATTTATTATTAGTTTATCACCAACAATTTTAGCAGGAATATTTTTTGCTTTTGCGGCTTTGCGGTGTTTCTGGAGTATTTTATTGGTCTGACGGTCCTTTTCGCATAGATCTTGCACAACAAAAACACTGCTACCTCTAAGCTTGTGTACGTTTTGAAACACTTGTTGTTTTTTGAAGTATGAAATAAACTCAATCTTAACAGGGCAGTTTTTATTGTTTATAACGTATATATTTTGTAAATCGTTAGATATGTTTATTCCTAAAAGGTCGTTTAATTTCCCTGTTGCTATATCTGCTAGATTAGCAGTTTTGCTATCAACTTCCAGTCCAAATACAAGTATATTATTTTTCCGGACGGCTCTTTCCAATTGTATGAATGAATGAATCTTAAAATTTAGAGGCATCCCGGCCACCATAAGGAGCCAGTGCATAGGCCGCTTAAGCGGGCCCTTATGCACCTCTACAATACTTAAATCACAAGCCTCGCCCTTTTAGCGAAGTTGAGAATCGCCTTGAGTCCAAGCTCCTTGACGTCCTGAGGGTCCAAAGTAATGGACCCCAGTATAGTCTGCCATAGTAGCTCAGAGCTTCACAGCGACACAAAACGTGCGCCGAGGTCTCTTCCTCTACTCCGCAGCGTTCGCACAAGGGATCCTCAGCCACCCCCATCACGTGCAGGTGACGCCTTAATGTGTTATGGCCAGACAACAGTCCCACCAGCAACCTTAGGTTGGCTCTACCCAGAGATAGGCAGAAGCGTCCATCCTTAGCACTGGGCCCTTTAATGAGCTCTCGTGCCTGGCGGAGATGTCTAGAGATACTACTCCATTTCTGAGAGTGTTGTCTTGCAACCCACGTCTCCATTTTCCTCCTAGCTTTATGCGCGGTTACTCCTAGAGCTGGCTCAGGACCAACGAGCTTGCTGGCTGATCCTGTTTTTGCCAGAGTGTCCGCCGTCTCATTGCCCCTTATCCCAGCGTGCCCCGGTACCCATATTAACGATACCGGATGCCTCGCTGCGAGGCAATCCAGAGCCTCCCTGCATTGCAATACAAGACTCGAAGTAATCTTACAGGCACTTAGTGCTTTCATTGCAGCCTGGCTGTCGGATAAGATTGTTATTCTTCTCCTAGGCCTACCCTCCTCCAGAATGTGAGATACACAAGCCAGAAGATTTCCGCCTGGAAAATGGTGGTGTATCCACCGAGAGGCAGAGATAGCCTAGTTCTAGGCCCAGAGACCCCAGCACCTGAGCCCTCTTCGGTGACCGAGCCGTCCGTGTACCAGACCTGCCCGCTCACTTCGGAGAGTCCTCGGCTACCGGCGTCCCACTCCTCCCTCGTTGGATACTCCACAATAAACTTGCGGTTGAAGCGATATTTAGGGGTAATACGATCACCCCTGCTTAGAAGGACGGGAACCTCCCTTTCTAATTCGACTAAGATGGCAGTATGCCCCTTGACCGGATTCAAGAAAGCCCAGCTGCCCTGACTCCACAGTCGATGAGCGACTACTCTCGCTTCACCGCGGATCACCAGATCCAACGGTGGGAGATCCAACAGAGCTTCCATTGCACTCAATGGCGTTGTTCGCACTGCGCTTGTAATGCTAATACAGGCCAAACGCTGAATTTTATTGAGTTTGGCCTTAGTTGACTCAGTTCTAATGCAAGGCAACCAGACCAGGGAGCCGTACAAGAGAGATGGACGTACTATCGTCGTGTAGAGCCAGTATACCACTTTGGGTTTAAGCCCCCACCTTACACCGACAACACGTCTACAAGCCCACATCGAATTGCGAGCCTTGCTAACCTTGTATTCCACATGCTCTCTCCAGTTCAGTTTGCAATCCAGGATAATTCCAATTGTAAATGCTGTTTTACAAGATTCAAAATTTTCGCGTTATCTAGTTTTATTTCTTGGATCTCTTGCTTGACTTCACTTTTAACACTGTTGCTCTCTTTTTTTATTAATTCCACTAATTTAGAGAGCAGCTCTGTATTACTTAGATCATTGCTGCTAGTCATTTCGAAAAATTAGGCAGTAACATTAGTCAGGTGTAGAGACAAAAAGTGGAAAATAAAATCGCTAAAGGCTCAGTTAACTCTGTGATATCAGCTCTTATACTATCAGCGTTTCTTTTGTTAGGAATTTAATCTTCTACGGACTGTATTAACCAAAAAAAAATCCACCAACCTTTCTTGCTTCTTTGCACGTATGTTTCTTGTAGCAGAAAAATTGCTTATATCTTCGCCTATGCACTTTGTCTCGAAGTCTCACTTCACAAGCTTGTTAACTGTACTAATTACTAGCGTTTGCGTGAAAATTCCAAAATTTTCGAGCACTTTTGACCGCTCAAAACAAAGAAATTATAACAGAACACGTCCAGCGAGATGAACACCCATACCGAGATATTTGATTAAATTTTGTACATTGAGCCATTTTAATTTGCTAAGCATTAGTCTAATTGGAGTATATTCACCTTTATTCAGTATTATGCTCATGCACTTGTTTTGTAAAATTTGCAGTCATTCAAAAATAGTCAAACAGTACAAGAAATTAGGAAGAATGATAGTATGATAGATAATTTTTCTGCTATATAAACTCAAGACATCCAGAAACTCTTCATAAATATCCCACTTTACCACTAATCTTATTTATAACTTTTTTTAAAATGTAGTTTTTGTTTTAGATATTACACTTTTTCAAACAGACTTCCCAAGCTCTTCTAACATTCTGTTCATCTTAGGGCATACTAAACAGATGAATATTCAGAATACTGAAACAGGATATGACTAACTTTTTGCTATGACGAGGGTTCCATCTATCTAAAAGTTCACATTTCACAATTTACTTGAGTGAACTAGCATTTTTCGAGTGCCATATGGATCTAGATCTGTAAAAGGCAGCTGCTATGACCAAAGTCACTTGAATTTTGGAATCTCACTTTGTGAAAACTATGGTCAGTTTTTGTTCTCATTTCGTCATACTTATCGATTTTTTTGCAAAAAGATTAAGGTAATGCAATTCAAATTTTGATACATATTAAGTAATGTATATTGATGAATGAATTCATTACTTTTTAATATGTAACAAGTCATTTGGGTTATTTTCTACTAGAGATCAACCAATATAGGATTTCCGTTGATACTAGATACTGATATGTCAGTGTACTATGCAACAAACATTTCTTTGGGCAGTAGAGGGAAAGGAAATTCAATATCTACTTGGAAAGATGATTGGAGTGGACAACCAAAAATATTCTACCAATATTGGTTTTATTCATATATTGAAAAAAGCATTTCTTATGACTTACCACCAGATAAGTAGTTATGTGAAACTATCACCTCTGACATATCAAATAAAGTAAGTTAACTCCTAAAAGCTTCATTAATCTTAAACAATAATATGCCAAAATTACATTTTAAATGTTTTTTTCTGCACTGTTTTAGATAGAACATGTTTTCACAGTGTTTTTCCATTTTTTAGTTTTGTGTTTAATTATCTGCTGTTATGCTTTTGCCAAATATTAAAGGTTGCAAATGGTGGTTAGGTTTTGTTCTTCAAACATATGTAACAAAAACATGTTACTTTACAGCAAATGAAGAAAATAATTGAAGTACTTGTATTTTTTTTCAATAATAAATGCTGTTCAACTTAATATATATTGGCAGCCTACATCAGCTTATGAGCAGTCATTTTGGCCAATATTGTTGATATGCCAAATCCATATTGGTCAATCCCCATTATCTTCTATACTTGCTTAATTTGGTTGGTTAATATCACATCAGTACTGCTAACTAAATAATTTTAGATAGACAGATTTATAATCTCAACAGTAGAAAACTTCATACCTGTCTAATTCTTCGTTTGATGTCTTCCTCGTCGGATGGAGTATTGCTAGTTTTCAAACCTGGAGCAAATATTTGACTAGCTACCCCTCTGCCCCTACCAGAATATACATATACTACCCCTTCTTCATGCATGAAGTTGTCAGTGAAAATGCTTTGATTACTCTGATGCTGTCGAGCCTGATATTCTAAGACAGTTTGAGGTGGCAATGTAGGCTCATCTTCATCACTGTTATCTTGTATTTCACTCATTTCAGAGAACATATTCAGGTCTTGTTCAAAGTCTTCATTACTACGCCATTGACCAGCCATTTTAAACCTAAAGATAATTGAACTCCTCAATCACTAGAAACGGTAACCTTGTGTTACGTGCAGAATATTAAAAATCACAGACTGTAAAAAGAAATGGTCTTGTCATTTGTTATTACAGAGGTCCATAGGACCTTGGCTCTTGTATGGCAGAATAAATGAAATACTTTTCTTTGTTAAGAATCTCAATGCACCTTTGTAAAATTTAGAATAAAATTATTTAGCAGGTAGGGTTCATCCACTTGTACAGCATAAAGTGAACGCAAAAATGGGGTCAATGTGGAATATTTGAACTTGTTGCAAGTTGCAACCTGCTAACTACACTACGTCGTATGATGTTTTGCCGTTATAGTTTCCTTCTAATTCGTCTTACCTTTTAATTAACGTGTCAATGTTAGAAAAATGGTTCGCTGCAAAGGTAATAGCAATCATTCGAATATAAAAAACAATTTGTAACAACACATTTTACCACAGCTACACAAAAAACAAGGTAATCCAAAATTTTTCGGATCATAACCTCTTACATTTTGTCGCCAAGCCTGACAGTGACAGATAACAGGTTGCAAGCAGAAAACACAACACGGTTGCATAACTACCCACACCTAAAATAAAAATCCATCAGATCTTACAATAAAATCGGTCCCACACGATGTGGCGAATGCCTTACAGCGTTGGACTCATGGCCATTCGCCACATCGCATCGTGTGGGTGAGCGCTGACGGATTACGTGTGTCTAAAGTTCGCCACATGGCACGCTCGGGTCTTGTCGGTAAATTGTATCTACCTATTCATAATAATGTATGTTCCGTAACTAACTCTTGAGGAGAATGAATTAAATTAGTATACATACAAAGCATAGGCTGCCATAACAACACTTATTTCATATTGCTGCTGGCTGGCCTAAGCATATGTATTGTAGTAAATTATAAATTATCAAGTGCTTACAGTTGTTTCATTATAATGTCCTGTTGCAATGCAAGACTGGATGAGAAATATAGTGACTTGCATTTCATAACTAACGAAAACGATTAAATGAATGATAATTCTGAGAGTACTATCAGGATTTTTTATGAAACTTGGCCCTAGGTTATTACTATGAAGAAGACGAAAAAGCTCTGCAGTCTTTGAAAATCGGTACAGTTGCGGTTAAGTTATCGTCGAAAATAAAAGGTCAAACTTCGTTTTTCGACATTTCTGAAGCTTCTGACAGACTTAAGTTCTGGTCGCTGAAGACAGATCTGACATTATTTTTCGGCGCTCGAAAAAATTGTTTCATCGTTCATTTTGTATAATTTCTCCTTGAGTTGTAGGTTCAAGCGCGACACTGACACCAATAAAAGACGTTGGCACCACCATGCGTCGAACGTCCGAGTCTAAAAAGTTCATCCCATCGTGTAGGAGACACACTTCCCAATTGTGGAGTGTCGAACGCTGTAAAGAACGTTGGAAGCGTCGTGTGGGACCCGCATTAGCACAGTTATTATCAAAATGAATATAATCAAATTCAAGCGGATAACCAAATGGAAATGGTATTTACCATTTTGGGTTGGTATTTACCAATCCGTTCAAGCGAGTGTAGTTATCAGTTTGGTTATAAGATCCGTGACGTCACGAATCAGCTGTTATATGTCATAGTTATCACCGCAAAAATGGGGTATTTACCCAACTCAAGAGTAGTTTTATATTTCTGGTTATTATTTGAAATGTGACAACTTAGAATTTTGCCGGGTATTGGATATTGTTATTGTACTTCAGCTTCATTTTTGAGAAAAATGATACAGGCTGACTTCAGTTTTACCATAAAGTGGAGCACCTTATTAGTTATACTCATTACGGTTGTTGGGGACCCTTTAAATGTAGTTCCTATGCTTAACAAAGTATCCTGTGTAGCCATATACCACAAGAATATTAAAATATAGCCATATAAACTCACTAGATGATATCCACCTGTATACGGTTTTGCTAATTTCTTGTTTCATCATTTCTGCTGAATCAATAAATGTTTTCTTTGACATGCGGAAAAATTTAGAGAATTGAAAGTTATCATAGCTACAAAGCCATGGTTCCATCATTAAAAAAAAAATCTGAAAAAACATTTCTCCCATGAATATTATGAAAGGTTTCTTATTTAAACTTTCCATATACAGTTGTAGACGAAAAAGCACCGACTATTAAGTGATAATAAAAATAATCAGAGATTATATACGCGCTTTTCTAAAATAAACAACTTGCAACAAAACCGCGGTTAAAACCAACGCGTTCAAGCGATTCGTGTAACTGACGTCATCAACCCGTGTGTCATCTTGAACCATATTATAACCGCGGCACATAACACAGAAATTTTGGTTATTCGCTTGGATTTGATGCTTCAAACAACCGAATAACCTGGGCTCTTGTCAAACCACTCTCCGTGAGCCTGCTGCAGCAAGAGTTTCCGTCGCACTGTGCCCACGTCTGAAGCAAAACCTGGTAGCACACCATTGCTCGAAACTGATGTCACTCATTTTTAGAACACAATAGGAAAAACGCTATCGGCAACTAAGTGACTCAAGCGAGTTCAAACTTGTACTGAAGGCGGATCACATGTTTCCCTGTCTCCCCTCCAGGGCCAGCGCCTCCAGGGTTGCCAAATAGAAGGCTACGTTGCCAGCTTCATTATTTAATATACCTACCTTGTATGTTGTACCTATCTAATGTGATGATAGAAATGCAAAAACTAAGAAGTAGTTTTGAGTAGGTACATATGACTGGTGAATTGCCAAGGAACATATTTAATTTGAATATAAACATAAGTATATTGACTGCACTATATTATCTGATGTCTGTTATTGAAACCGTTGCCTAGCAGCAACGAATTAGTCAGCCTGATAACGGATGGTAGAGTTAGTTTACCGCCCTAAGTACACTTTAACGCTCGGTCGTAACAAATGCATGGGTCAAAAAATTAAGATAAAAACTTCTTCTGGGATTCCTTATCGCTGCAGCTGATAGAAATTCCACATTTTACTATTTTATTGCAGTGTTATAAATTAAATATGATTCCTCTGATAAATTCTAAAATCGATTCTTTTTCTCAAAGCGTAGATTATTACAGTGGTCTAAGCTTACATCATGGTCAATTTTCAGCTGTTTTTGATTATTTACGAAAACAATACAAAACACCTTTTAGTTTCCAATTTCACTAGAGTATATTATAATAATTTGATTTGATAAAGGTGGGACATTTCCGGCACGCCGCCTAGACCTAGATTAATGTACTTATATCAACAAACATGTGCTTCACTGCTACGGTTAGGTCAGCATAGTATCGTGGCCGCAAACTTTCTCTTATCTGTTTCAATGTTTATCTATCAACAGCTATATAAAACGGAATACCAAAAACAAAATCTTATCATACCTCAAATACTTGTACTAAATGTCCTTACGGTTTATTTTACTTTTAACCTAACTGTAACATGTTATAGCTTTAACACAGTATTAATTCTATTTCTGAGATTCCATATAGAGCCCTTATATAAGTCGGCACTTAGTGTCCACTTGGCAGGGTGAGTATACCTTTTTTTTGTTATGAATACTATTTAAATGCATACACAAGGTCTTCTTAAAGTTGTTAATTTCCTTCGCGGCTAGATGCATAGTTTTTGTGAAAAGTAATACATCTTTCTTATAACATATACCTATACCAAATATTGATATAACCAAGATATTTGGTTCCAGAATAAAAACGAGCTTGTAGATATATGTGTATCCAAATTGCTTTCCCCAACGTTTCAATCCTTCTTCACGTATCTTTGTATGTCTCATATACACGGTGTTAAATTTAATCTTAGTTTGCTTTATAAACTATGGTCCAAAAATGTTTCCTTACAAAAACTCGGAGTGTTGAAGTTTTAGGAAAAAAATGGAAATATTATTTTCAGACCCGCTTCAGATATTTCACTGATATTTAGTACGTAGTGAAAGTTGATAAAGTTGCATATTTTTCTATGCAAAAATAATTTTTAGCTTTAACAGTGGCGTGCGTACGAATATTGACTTCGATATTTTTTAATAACAAATTTTTACGCCAATGGTGTTTTGCCAAATAAAAAAAATATTATATATATATATATATATATATATATATATATATATAAAATTATTTTTGAATTACCCGTTCAATTCAAAACAAATGATCTATCTTGAATTGTTTTTCTTCGATGCGCCATTTTTAAGTAAAAAAAGTAAAAACCGTTCTATTGTCCGAGAAAATTAATGTAATAATTGAAGAATGCAGATTATCAATAAATATCTAGTTACTCTGGAATATGTCACTGGCTTTTGACATCTGACAAGTCTCTGTTATTCAAATCTGTTTGCTGAGACATCGTTTTCATTATTTAGTTTTTACAATCTTGTTAATAATGGTGAATTATTCAAATGCAGCAATGGCGGAAATGGATAACGTATATGGCCTTGCCGACGGTAATGGTGAACAAGCCAGACGGATTTATCACCAGAGATATCTCGATCGTGCTTTGCCAGATAGTCGAACCTTTTCTAATATTCATCGTCGTCTTGTTGAAACTGGTTCTGTCCGAAAAGGAACATCTGAAGGTAGACCTCTAAGTGCGAGCACACAGAAACAGAATTACTTTTGGAGATACCGAAATTGCAAAGACACTTAAAAGCCGCTAATGTTAAAGTTTCTGATTGGGTATATCGAATTTTTTTAAAGTTTATTTTAGAATGGGATTTTACAGAATCTCTTCCAAATCTTATGGTTTGTTCATGCATGTCCGTAGCTTCATGTGAAAGGAGTTTCAGTAAACTAAAATTAATAAAGAACTATATGCAGGCAACAATGGCCCAATCGCGGCTTAGCAATATTGATATATACTAAGTGACATATTAATCCGAACACCCAGTTTAAATGGTTTTATTTTAATAAAATTTTGTATAAGTACTTAATGAAGCATAATAAGTAAATGATAAAAATTTCAAAATGATTGCACTGATTTAAAGCCTTTTGACCTTTAATAATGTGTGGATGCACCCTGATGTGCTACGCATTCTCCAACGCGCCTAGGCATGCTTCTGATCAGGTGGTCAATGTCCTCCTGTGGTATCTCATTCCAGGCAACCACCAACTCCTCTCGAAGTGCTTCTAGAGTCAGAGGAGGACGTTGCAAATTGAGCAATCTCCTACCCATCATATCCCACACGTGCTCAATTGGGGATAAGTCGGGAGATCTTGGTGGCCATGGTAACAATGTGACATCATTATGTTGAAAGAAGTCTATTGTGACTCTTGCAACATGTTGTCGGGCATTATCTTGTTGGAAAGTTGGATCTGCCAGGGTGTCAAGATAGGGTAAAAGATGGGGTTCTAGAACTTCGTGGATATAACGCTGCGCGTTCATGTTACCTCTGATGAAGATTAAAGGTGACATGGAACCATAAGCTATAGCACCCCAAACCAAACTCCAACAGTGTGATGAACATGTCTTTCAACAAAAAACTGTGGATTCCCCCTTTCACCATGTCACCTTCTAACCCTGGCATGACCATCGTGCATGCCTGAACAAAATCGAGACTCGTCACTAAAGACAATTCTGTTCCATTCCTGATCCCTGAGTGACCGTTGTCTGCACCACTCAAGGCGATTACGTCGGTGTTCTCGAGTTAAAGGGAGGACCCAGTGTGGCCGGTATGAAAACAAGCCAAAACTTCTCATTCGTCGGTAAACACTTCGCATGCCAATAGGTCTTCCGTGTTCTGCAAACCATTCATTTGCAATGGACCTGGTAGTGGAGAAACGGTCCCTTAAGGCCAATAATCTTAGGCGGCGATCTTCACGGTCTGTTGTTCTACGGCGGCGTCCAGTGCCCCTTGCTCTTTGCGTACGGCCTTCTCGAAGCCATGCTTGACAACATCTAACCACAGTGTCTACACTTCTTTGCACTCTAACTGCAATTGCCCGAAAAGAAAGTCCAGCTTCCCGAAGTCCCACTATACGGCCCCTATCAAACTCACTAAGTTGACGAAATCGTACAGGTCTCCGTACTCTAGGCATCGTAACCGATCGTAAACGATGTCAAGAACCAAAATCCGCCAACGTTGATTCTTTACTGCGGCTGAGATATTCATTTTTAGAGCATTAGTGAATTAAAAAAAAGCAGTATAAAAACCGGAATGTCCAACTGATAAGGCTGAAAATTTTTTCACTTGCTATTTACAGTAAGATAAATACATTCACCAACTTTTATTAAAATAAAACCATTTAAACTGGGTGTTGGGATTTATATGTCACTTAGTATATTAGCCATAGAACACGAGCCAATACAAAATATAAATTTTGATGAAGAGATTTTAATTGTAAGACAAACATATTTTTTCTGTCTTTTTGTGTTTTGTTATTTGTTCAATATTTTAAATATAAATATTAAAAGATCCATGAGGTTTATAAATCATAAATCAAATACAAGCGAATAACCAAAATTTTTGTGTTATTTACTGCGGTTATAATGTGGTTTAAGATGACACATGATGGCGTCAGTTACTCGAATCGCTTGAACGCGTTGTTTTTAACCGCGGTTTTGTTGCGAGTTGTTTATCTTAGAAAAATGCATATATAATTTCTGATTATTTTTATTATTACTTAATAATCGGAGCTCTTTCGCCCACAACAGTGATATGAAAAGTTTGGAAAAAAATTCATAATATTAATGGGAGTAATGTTTTTTTCAGAACATTGTTCAGGTGTTAAATCACTTGAGAAAATCTCTCTTATTTTTAAACGAATTTGTCCTGAAAATTAAAGATATGACGCCCAAAATTTTAATGGTGGAACCATGGCTTTGTAGCTATGATAACTTTCAATTCTTTAAACTTTTCCGCATGTCAAAGAAAACATTTATTGATTTAGCAGAAATGATAGGAAAAAGCGACGAAAAAAGGTATTAGCAATTCAGTCTTCATGTAGTTAGTCTCGATTGCTTCTTCTTGACTGGCCGTAACGAGCGCTTCTCTCTGAATGTTTAAGTTAGCATGAGTGAGCCACTTCCAAGTAAAACTGCTTTCGATGATGTGTGATGTTCCACTTCTTATATTATTTGACCAGGCTTAGCTCCGTCCATTTTTCATTCGGTCTTTTCTCTTTCCCGTTTTCATATGATATTTAATCAATTTTACTGTCCTCTTATCTTCAACTCTTTTGCAGGATGTAAACGTTATGATAGTCATTATTTAAATGGGTGATAGAGGGGGTTATAAGAAGAAAAAAGTTTTATACAACATGGGGGTCAAAACGGCATTCTTTTAGAGAAAAGCGACTTTAAAGTAAAATAAAATCTGACAACGCCACAATGCCACACGCAAATTACGACAGAACGCAGGGTAAATAAATATGGAGTTTATTATTTTTGGCTCTTAGGTATTATTTCATTATTTGATAATGTACTTCGTAAACTGCAAACAATTTAAAAAAACGGACTTACCACTAACTGTCTCAGCGCTTCATTTGGTGTGTGAAAGTCTATTGAACGTATTGAAAAAATCCACTTATAAATAGGGATCAAAATTTTGATACATACATTGTTTTTCTTTTTAAAACCCACACTGCACTTTTTTTGTATTTAAAGATGGTGTCCAAAATGTCGTCCTCCACTTTCCACATAAGCTTCATTGCGACGAATCCAGTTCCTTCTTACTGTAGGACTTCGAAGTTGTCCATTTATTATTTCAGCCGCATTAAAGTTTTTTTCGAGAAGTTGTGCTTCAGTTATTATTGGACCAGCCCCATAAACCATCCCTTTAAGTTCTCCCCAATACCAGAATGTTAGTCTGCGAGGATAGTCTTCTGGTAACAAGGCCTGCACTCGTTGTACATGGTAGGGATAAAGCAAATTTTCCCGCAGGATTCTATGGACTATGGTATGCAATAGTCTTACGCGGCGGCCTAATTCCCGAGTGCTGATATCTGCATTGATCTCCACGACATTTAAAATTTGTTCCTCCTGCTCTACAGTAACCTGTCTTTCACGAGTGCGAATATTAGTGGGCTGAAAACTTCCTGTATCTCGGAGTCTTTGGTACACTTGCACAAATGTCCTTCTGTCTGGGTGCACCCGTTGGCGAAAACTGTCGCGATAAATTTGAGCTGCAAGATTTGAATTCTGACAAGCTTCACCGTAAACTAACAACATGTCGGCGAACTCTTGATTCGAGAACATTGTAAATAAACACGATGACGTACGCAATAACTAACCACTGTTACCATTAGCGATCGATTCCGATTCGATAAGAGTGATGAATGACCGACGCGCTGTTGTCATGTGTGTTTTAAATATTTAATTTGATGAAAATTACTTACTTACTGACTACAAATTTTGGCTTAACTTAGAAAAACTTAATGCCATTTATTTGTTAATTACCCAATTTAAAAACGTTTTAGATTAGATTACAAAAATGGGTAAGATTGTGGTCGATATAAAGCTCTTAAAGTTGTAAACTATAAAGCCATTTAGATAAAAATCTATTGACTTTTGGACCATGGGTCATATGAACTTTTTGACTTGTCTTGACCCCCCCCCATTGCCCATTTCAATAATGACGACCATAACGTTTACACCTTGTATACGACAAGGACGAATTTTGAAAGGGGCGATGGGTCGCACGTCTCCCATCAGACCCACAAGTCTGCCATTGTTTTTCAAGAAAATGGAATACGTACATTGCTGTATCTTGCTGTAAGAATCTTGAAACGTGCCCCCTTAGACAGATTCCTAAATCCACCCTTGTCAATAGAAAATAGATCCATGTATCAATTTATTTTATTATTCAAACTTCTTGTGGAAGAGATCCACAAGAAGTTTTCACAAAAGCTCTAACCTATGATGAGAATGAAATTGAGCCATTGTCTTTTTCAGTTCTGCGGTGTTAATGTATTGGTAGAAAGACATCCTCAAACTCATTTGGAGCATCAACCAAAAAAACGTAATTATATGAAAGGATTGTTAAGCTGAATAGGCATAGAAATACGCACAAATTAACACATACAAATTTTGTCATGGTGGTTAATACACGACAATTTTGTAAACTGATAAATCCGAATTTCTTTATAAACATAGATGCTATAATGCTTTTAAATTTAGGTGTATGCACAAATTGCAGACAAGATGCTATACATAAACGAAAGCAATGTAAAAGATATTCTGACATGGGAGAAGACATTTGAGGCCGTCGAGGTGGCTATGAAGAGATTGTCCTCTGGACAAACAGTTCAAATGCCACGAACACATACTATTATTCCCGGCAGTGATAACGTACTATTGACTATGCCTGGATATTTGAAAGATGAGAAATTTGGTGCTTTGGGTTGTAAGCTGGTTACCTATTTCCCTGGTAATCCCAAAAGGACTGAAGCTTTACCATCAATAAATGCCAATATCATGATACTGGATGAAGCTACTGGAATTATGAAAGCGGTAAGTTTCGCCATAATATACAAGTTGCTGCTTAAGTCATATTAAAGCTGAACTTACAGTTTGTTACGTGGGAGCGTGATGATAATTTTATGAAAAATGCGTAATGTATGGTTTACGCTACGGAGCTATAGTTTGGAAAAATAGTGTCATAGCATTAATTATTCTTATTTTTTGAACGGGTTAAGTTAGCAAGTTGGAAATTTGCATGGTGAAACTTATGCATAAATAATGTAAAAGTGGCAACTGGAAGTTTATAGATCGCTGCCAGATTCACTACCTTTCAAAATGGCGGATTTAAAAATCACTGTATAATTGCATACATAACAATGTAGATAGTGTTGCTTAATACACTACAATATATTCAGCTTGGACTTTCGATTATTCGCGATGCAAAGGTTGTTGTGACTGATGAAAGAATATTTCAGGTAGTAGCTGGCACAGAAATCACAACCCAAAGGACATCTGCCGCCTCTGCTGTTGCAACTAAATACCTATACGTCAATCAAGGGAAGGCTTGCAATATTCTTGCCATTTTGGGAACTGGAATTCAAGGAAGGATTCACGCTGAAATGTTCAGACACTTTTTCCACTTTCAAGAGGTAGCTATAGTCAGGTTCCAAAATAGGAGAGAGTAGTAACTTATCGTGCGCCACTGCTAACGCGTTGTATCGAGGTAAAGTGTTTCTAATCCAAGTTGAAACCGACAATGACACGGCGATAACAACATTGTAGAATTTTATAGATTCAAAAAACGCTTCGTGCGTTTTGTGTGAAACAAGGACAACCAGTACTTTGACAGTGCACGGCGTTGATATGCTCAATGTGTCGGCCGTTGTCTTCGTGCAATATATCTTTACAATTTGGCATGTGGCGGTGGTAGAGGGAGTAGCATCACCGAAGCTGTGTCGCCTAGTTCTGATGTTTGGACCTTCACGCTTCCCCTCCTTTGATTTCTGGTGGAAGTAGAACAAAGCGACTGAAGACATGCCCCTTGACTGACTTTAAAATGAGAAATCTATTTCCAACGTCGCGCTGGGTACAGGGGAGTATTAGCTACTTAACATCCAATAAATTCCCAAATATTAAACTGCATCAATATAAAGTGTATCGCCCATGCATATAGTTCCCTTTCAAGTAACGCAGACATGGGTTTTTATGCGGATCTCAATGTGCATGCGCCTACGATTATTTATTGACACACATGTATCCCTAGACCTATCACGCTTGGAGACGACGGATGGTTGACTAATAATTATTTAGATTGCTATCCTCTGTATATCGTCAGTAGGATCGAATAAACTTGTACCACATTCAGTCACATATTAGAGAAAATAGCCACTCAACTATGTGGCAGAAGTCCCTAGCTGGACGCTTCTGATGTCTAATATAAACAATATTTGATAGAACGGCCATAAAATAAAGTTCAATGTTTGATGCTTAAACACTAGGTCTGTAAATTAAGTGATGAGACCGATTTTAAAAAAATTATCCAAATATAATTACAATTTTATATATATTGTCACCTTCACCTTCTAAAGTGATACAGCGATGGAGACGGTTCTGCCACTCTTCATAGTTGTGCTGGAGCTCCGATACTGGAATAGCCTTTAGCTGATCGGTTTCAGCCATTTGACTGTCCCAAAATGAGTTCCTTAAGGTGATTTTTCAACTTCGAGAAGAGAAAAAAGTCACAAGGACTCAAGTCAGGCGAATAAGGAGGCTGATGAGTTACATGAATATTTTTATTGGCCAAAAACTCGTCTATTGACATTGCTGTGTGACAAGGAGCATTATCGTGATACACCCAGTGGTTCTTGATCTGATGTACGGTGGTGTAAACGCACAATATATCGGATTCTGTCGATAGTTTAATCGGTTTTTGAACATGCATGCCTTCCGCTTCGTGGTTCATTTTCAATCGACTCTCTCCCTTCTGAAAATGCCTTAAACCACCGAAAAACCTGAGCTCTTGACAAAACACTATTTCCATAGATCTGCTGTTTACCAAGAGTTTCCATTGCACGGTGCCTAAGTCTGAACCAATACTTGCCAGCACAAATGAACACAATAGAAACGATTATTTCGAAAAAAAAATCTCTGAGGACAGCCAAATGACTGGAGCAAATTTAAACTTGTACTGAAGGATCACATTTTCTCTTATATCCCCTCCTAGTCCGGCGTCTCCAGTGTTGCCAGATCGAACGCTACGTTGCCGGTCTTATCACTTGATTTACAGACCTCGTACATGGTACCTTCTCTGTTTAATTTCAATGCAATTTAAGTTAACATAAAGAAGCTTTCACAGCCCTAAATATACCTTTAGGTCTTTTATTAGATCCGTTTATGGAATAGAACTAAAGAGAAAGCAAAGTCATTAGCAGAGGAACTCAACAGAAAGTTCGATACTAATGTATTCAAGTATTATGAAAACAATGAAAGCTGTGTGAGAGGTGCTGACGTGATTGTTACTACAACTGCTTCTCCTGTACATATAGTCCATTATGCTTGGGTTAAGCCAGGAGCTCATATCAATGGTTTGTGAACTACACTTAGATACGTTTATAGTCAATTACCAGAATTGATGACAGTAGCAGAAGTCATCGTGCGCCACTGCTTTGACGCTGTAACTTTTGATTACAGCGACCTTTCACAAAGAAGCGCCACATTGTCGAATTCCTCCGCGTAATAGCAGTCGGTGAGTTTCGCTACTGTCATCAATTTTGATATTTTACTATAATACATTTTATTTCCTATACCACTGGCAAGGGAATATTGTAATCGCGAAATACCTCGAACATAAGATATTACTTTTTTTGAATGTTATATGACATTTACATCACGAAAAATCATGTCACTCATTTCCATCGGTCTCTAACGGGGACATACAAAAACACAATCCCATTTTTGAAAATTTTTGCAAATACTAAGTTTCCTCGCCAGTGGTATAGGAGGAAGAAAAACTGCAGGTACACATGTTTAACCGTACACTACACGGGGTACATGGAAATGAAAATAAATATTTATTTCTATTACATAAAGTGGAATTCCGTACCCTCTTCATTGTGTTCCGCGCTCATATTCATTTTCCAACACATAACATAACTCATAATACAGAACCTCTCTAATTTTTCCATAAAAAAGTAGTGTCGAATAATCCATCACAAACTTCAAATTTTTTAGACCCCCATGGTAAAGGTAGTGTAAGCAAAGTTGTTTCCACGGCTAGTCGATTATCCAAGATATTAACTGGGAAGTAGATAATGCATTTCATTCATCTTTGTCACTTTGGTTTTTAATCTTTTCAGTTTTTCGCATAATTGAACCAGTGAGCACCGGCCAAACTTTGATAGCTATTTATTTATCCTTTTCATTTTAATCACGATACTCTTTTTGAAATACAGCCGTCGGTGCAAGCAGGAATCACTTCTCCGAACTCGACGAGCAATTGTACCGAAACAGCGACCTTTATCTGGATAGTGTAGAAACTATGAAACCCGAAATGGCAGGTTTGGACATGTTGACAGACAGTTTAAGAGGAGAGGTAGGTGCTGTTATAAACAAGATGATCCCATCTAGTCCAAATGAAAGACCAACCATTTTCAATGGAGGCGGTAAGTTTCTAATTTCCTTGGTAAGATGTGCTGTACCAAATTTCTGGCCGACACTGTAATCCATGCTTTTTACGATTTTTTTTTGATTCCCACAAAGCTTGGAACTGTTTTTGTTGGTCGTCCCACATGGGCTAAACCATAATGATGATTCCCAACAAGGATAGAATGGTGGTATACGTTTGGCTGGATGGCCAAGGATAGTTTAATTTTGGAGTCTTTCCTTACTGAAGGAATAACTCTTAAACCTAATCGAGCAGCTTACACTCAATTATTGGCTTCATCTCGAATGTTTGTGTAGAAGTGAAATTCAAAATAATTGAAGCATGTATCTACTCTGTACTAACATACGGGCTTGCTGCTTTGTTCCCGCACATGCGTATAAGTAGAGAGATGCCTTAAGAAGATATGCATATAAAGCTGGGCAGTTCCCTACTGCATCCCAGATGGCATACTTTGGGTGATGCTACCAAAGGACAGTGTGGCAACACTCGCCTGGATCAGGTGCCAAGAAATTTCTTAAAAACACCGAGGAAGACAAACCAGAGAAGCCGGTGCCAGAGATGTCAAATCTAGCCTCCAAAATTCAAGCATCCTGTGCAAATATATCTCACAATAATAATAATACATACTTTGTAAAAAGGTTTTACCCTATGTCCCCCATCATCTTCCTCATATTTCACTCTTTTCCCAAGCAGTATATATTTAAAATGTATACGGAAGCAATACACACTTTTTAATTATTTACATCCGGGCTTATACAGGGTGTTCCTTAATGATATGCGAATATTTAAGGGTGTGAATCTACATGAAAAACTAGTGTAAGTTTGCTTTATAAACTATAGTCCAAAAATGTGTCCTTACAAAAACTCGGGGTGTTGAAGTTTTAGGAAAAAAAAATGGAAATTAATTAATATTTTCAGAACCACTTCAGATATTTCACTGATTTTTAGTACATAGTGAAAGTTGATAGAGTTGAATATTTTTCAATGCAAAATTAATTTTTGCTTTAACAGTGGCGTGCGTACGGGTATTGACTTCGATATTTTTTTAGAAAAAATGATGTTTTTTTGTCAAATAAAAATCATTTTTGAATTTCCCGTTCAATTTAAAACAAGTGATCTTTTCTTGAGTTGCTTTCCTTCGATGCGCCATTTTTGAGTAAAAAAATAAAAACCGTTCTATTGTCTAACTTGCAAAATTATTATTAATCTAATTGGAAAAATTAAACACATTAGGGGTAATGAACAACAACAACAACTGACAACATAAACAAAACATTAAAACCAACGAAATGATTACAAAAATTGTTGAAAATGGCCCGTTCCTTTAGTATGCATGCTTCCGCCCTCCTTCTCATGGAATTGCGCACTCGTTGAAATATCCCTGGAGTGTTTATTATTCCATCACAAGCTGGAACTATTCTTTCTCTTAATTCCTCTACAGTTTTAATGGGACTTGTGTACACTAGTGTCTTAAGGTAGCGCCACAAAAAGAAATCTAAACTGTTGAGGTCTGGGAACCTTGGTGTCCATTCTTGGGGCCCACCGCGGGCAATCCAACGATTTGGATAAACAGTTTTTAAACAATTATGAACCGCTACACTGAAATGCCCTGGTGCACCATCATGCATGTACCACATACTGTTTGTTATTACTAACGAAACATCATCAAGCAGCAGAGGCAACTGTTGTTGAAGAAAATTGAGGTCTGTCCGTCAAGTGGTCCCGGCAATAAGAATGGGCTAATGGAGCGGTTGCCAATAATTCCTGCCCATACGTTAACCGAAAATTGGTGTTGGAAATGGGTTTCGGTTACGGCATAGGGATTTTCTTTTGCCCACAAATGATTATAGTGGAAATTCTGAATGGCATTTCGAGAAAAATTAGCTTCGTCCGTGAACAGAATCATTGATTCAAATTGCGGATTTTGTGTAGTTTTTTGAAGATACCACTGACAAAAGGTCACACGCCTTGGAAAATCAATGGGAAGTAATGCCTGTACTTTTAAAATATGGTAAGGATATAACAAAGAATCCACTAAAATTCTCCAAACAATTTGATGGCAAATAATTAAGTGTCTAGCGATCTTCCTCGTACTCGTTTCAAGATGTTCATCGACTTCGTGCAGCACTGCTTCCTCAATTTCAGGTCTCACACTTAGAGGTTTACCTTCAGATGTTCCTTTTCGGACAGAACCAGTTTCAACAAGACGACGATGAATATTAGAAAAGGTTCGACTCTCTGGCAAAGCATGATCGGGATAACTCTGGTGATAGATCCGTCTGGCTTGCTCACCATTACCGTAGGCAATTTCCGCCATTTCTGCATTTGAATAATTCACCATTATTAACAAGATTGTAAAAACTAAATAATGGAAAAGATGTCACAGCCAGCAGATTTGAATAACAGACTTGTCAGATGTCAAAAGCCAGTGATATATTCTAGAGCAACTAGATATTTATTGCTAAATTGCATTCTTCAATTATTACATTAATTTTCTCGGACAATAGAACTGTTTTTATTTTTTTACTCAAAAATGGCGCATCGAAAGAAAACAATTCATGGCAGATCATTTGTTTTAAATTGAACGGGAAATTCAAAAATAATTGTTATTGGGAAAAAACCATTGGAGTACTATTTTTTTCTTGAAAAATATCGAAGTCAATACCCGTACGTACGCCACTGTTAAAGCTGATAATTATTTTTGCATTGAAAAATATGCAACTTTATTAACTTTCACTACGTACTAAATATGAGTGAAATATCTGAAGCGGTTCTGAAATGTTAAATAATTTCCATTTTTTTCCTAAAACTTCAAACCCCGAGTTTTTGTAAGGGAACATTTTTGGACCATATTTTATATAAGAAAGCTAACATTAATTTTTCATGTAGATTCACACCCTTAAATATTGGCATATCATTAAGGAACACCCTGTATACAGGGTGTCCCAGAAGTCGACGTCAAGCCGAAACCGGGTGATAGGCAAAGTCATAACAGCTATCAGAAAAATATTTAAAAAAAATTTATGTATGTGTTTTGAAAATTATAGGTCTTTGAAAAAAATATAGAAATTTCACACCCTACGGCAGTCTGTCAACTCCTGTTACTACAAATATTAACTTTTTTTGGATTTTATTTTTACAATGTAATGATGAATAATGCATCTTCAAACTGGTGTCTCAACCTTACTGCCAACTTTTCTCGTTCAGGAAAAATTGCCACTTATTTCCCAACCCAGTATTCCAAAGTAAGACTTTGCTCAAGTTTAACTGGCTGTACTGGAAAAAAATGTAATACCAGAGTTTGGATTCCAAAATGGTATAACACTTAGAAGATTACTCGTTAACTTATGCACAATTTTTATTTGAAGAAAAACTGATGAAAATTTTTCAAAATTTCCTTATTAAACAGCGATTATGAAAACGCACAAGGACCCTTAAGGATAACTGTTTGCACAACAGTGGGCGTCAAAATGCTGCTGATGATGATTTACCTTTACAGCAAATGCTCAAACTGTTTTCCTTCAGCCGCAATACACGCTCGACATCTTCTAAAAAAAGATCGGGTTATTAAATGAGCGAATCCACGGTTATTAACAAACTCAGCTGCTTCCAATAGTCTTTGCCGTAGCTCAGCTACATTTTGAATCGGCTTGAAATACACTTTTTCTTTTACAGTTCCCCAGTAGAACAAATTTAACGGATTCAAATCTGGTGACCGGACTGGCCATGGTATTGTACCAGACCGCCCTATCCATCTGCCTGGAAAGTTTTGATCGAGATACTCTCTCACTGAGAGTGCATAGTGCGCTGGGCAGCCATCATGCTGAAACCACATGTCCCTGTAAATACTCAGTGGCACGTCCTCCAATAAATTTTCTAAATGATTTCGCAAAAAAACCTAAATAAACCTCAGCAGTCAAAGTCTCTAGGAACTCAAACGGACCGATTATTTTACCATTTAAAATTCCTGTCTAATGGTTTATCTTGAAGCGATATTGAGATTTATCTTCTCTCATCAAATGTGGGTTTGCTACGTGCCACTCGTGTAAGTTATGCCGGTTCATGTACCCATCTTTCTTAAATGTGGTCTCATCCGACCATAAAATTTTTTCAAAGAACTGTGGATCTTTCCTGTGTCTTTCTAACATTGTGCGACAAAAAGCAACTCGGGGCTCATAATCCCGGGGCAGGAGAGGTTGAACACGCTGTATGTGGTATGGATGAAGCACATCACTTACTTGCTATTGCACACTTTGATACCGATCAGTACTCCTTCGTTTACTGCGCATCTTTACATGTTCGTGCTTGTTGATTTCGTACTGTTACTAATTTTGGATTCGTGAACCGGACTGTTGATCGCTTGTGATTTGGATTTGGACTGTTTAATTGCTCTTCAAAACAACATTTGCTTTCCTTAGACTATCTTTGATAGTGTGATTGTGCAGTGCCGCTATGTCCGTGTACACCATACAAGAATATGCCAACATGCACCTCATTTATGGGGAATGCAGATGCAACGCTAGTGCTGCAGCGAGACTTTACTGTGAGAGGTACCCGAATGCAGCTCGTCATCCAGATCATCGAGTGTTCACAAATGTGCACCGCTTACTGTTCTCAAAGGGCCAACTACCAAACCAATCACACGGTGAGGGAAGATCTTTCCTTCCTTACGAAGACGTGGTGCTAGGAGCTGTCGAAGAAGACCCGAGTACTTCAGTGCGTGCAATAGAACTAAAAACAGGTGTGCCCAAAAGTACAGCCCATAGAATCTTGCAAAAAAACGTGCTCCATCCATACCACGTACAGCGTGTTCAAGCTCTTCTGCCCCGGGATTATGAGCCCCGAGTTGCTTTTTGTCGCACAATGTTAGAAAGACACAGGGAAGATCCACGGTTCTTTGAAAAAATTTTATGGTCGGATGAGACCACATTTAAGAAAGATGGGTACATGAACCTGCATAACTTACACGAGTGGCACGTAGCAAACCCACATTTGATGAGAGAAGATAAATCTCAATATCGCTTCAAGATAAACCATTGGACAGGAATTTTAAATGGTAAAATAATCGGTCCGTTTTAGTTCCCAGAGACTTTGACTGCTGAAGTTTATTTGGATTTTTTGAAAAATCATGTACAAAATTTATTGGTGGACGTGCCACTGAGTAGTTACAGGGACATGTGGTTTCAGCATGATGGCTGCCCAGCGCACTCTCTCAGTGAGAGAGTATCTCGATCAAAAGTGTCCAGGCAGATAGATAAGGCGGTCTGGTACTATGCCGTGGCCAGCCCGATCACCTGATTTGAATCCTTTAGATTTTTTTACCTGGGAACTGTAAAAGAAAAAGTATATTTCAAGCCGATTCAAAATGTAGCTGAGCTACGGCAAAGACTATTGGAAGCAGCTGAGTTTGTTAATAACCGTGGATTCGCTCGTTTAATAAACCGATCTTTTTTAAGAAGATGTCGAGCGTGTATTGCGGCTGAAGGAGAACAGTTTGAGCATTTGCTGTAGAGGTAAATCATCATCATCATCAGCATTTTGACGCTCACTGTTGTGCAAACAGTTATCCTTAAGGGTCCTTGTGCGTTTTCATAATCGCTGTTTAATTAGGAAATTTTGAAAAATTTTCATCAGTATTTTTTCAAATAAAAATTGTGCATAAGTTAACGAGTAATCTTCTAAGTGTTATACCATTTTGGAATCGTTATTAAATGCGCCAACATTTAAGGTTACTTGCCAAACTCTCGTAGTACATTTTTTTCCAGTACAGCCAGTTAAAGTTGAGCAAAGTTTTACTTTGGAATACTTGGTTGGGAAATAAGTGGCAATTTTTCCTGAACGAGAAAAGCAGTAAGGTTGAGACACCAGTTTGAAGATGCATTATTCATCATTATATTGTAAAAATAAAATCCAAAAAAAGTAAATATTTGTAGTAACAGGAGTTGACAGACTGCCGTAGGGTGTGAAATTTCTATATCTTTTTCAAAGACCTATAATTTTCAAAACACACACATACATTTTTTTTAAATATTTTTCTGATAGCTGTTATGACTTTGCCTATCACCCGGTTTCGGCTTGACGTCGACTTCTGGGACACCCTGTATAAGCCAAAATCATCATATGTAACATAATCTGCATAAAATTAAGATTTCAAATTGAGTTGATTGATAAACTATATAATATATTTGCTGTCCGTCACCGTAGCCATAACCAATAGTATACCACGTTGTCTTACGCTATTTGGCAATCATCAGTACGGTGTAGGTCTAGTCACTGGTGACAGACAACGGAAGACAAACAAGCGAAAATGGGTCTACTATAAAACTCATTATCGCATGAATAGTTCGCCAATTCTGTACCACCACTGCATTGGTAGCAGGGAAGTACACAATTTCCTGACATCACTGATTGACAGCCTGCTTTAATGAAACGGACACATATCGCAAATCGAGAAGTTAGTCCTTCACTTTTCTAGCTATGTGTGGCTTTTTTGTGCCATCTATTTCCAATGATATAAAAATATAAAGGACACATACAAGCGGATTTTTGTGCACTTTAAGCATTGTTAGAACGTATGTATTTTTAACTTGCATCAATATTTTCTTTGTTTTAAAACTTAATTGACTTCTTAAAGCCCAAAGGTCATAGTTTTGGCATCTTTGTGCAATATTCGCTCAATTTCCAGCTTTTAACTTGGTATTTTGATCACAACACTATCAACTTAATATCTATAATAAAACACACCAAAATACAAAACATGTATGAAAATAAGTGTATTTTCCAACCTTCGTATTTAGTGTGACCGCAGTGAAGCAGCACTTCTATATTCATATAGTTCTGTGTCTCAGGGCTTTATTTTGAATTTCAAGTAGAAAATGTTGCGTTCATACCCACATTTTTTTGTACCGAAGCATAAATACACATTGATAATCCCATTTTTGAACTGCTTAGGGTCAGCAGAACTGAGAAAAGCCTCCTCAGGCAGGTTATTATACAATCTCGATATTCTGGGGACAAAAGAGCGGACGTACCGAACAGTTCTGGATGTGCGAATTTCGACACGCTTAGAGCGGGAGGCCGAAGTCTGGGGGGTCTGTCTGGCAGGTTTATCGCGCAGCGGTATCATGGAAGAGAGATCTGAGGAGCAAAGTCCGTTGACATATTGGTAGAAGACAGTCAGGTTGCAGACGGCCCGACGGCGCGAAAGGGTCCCGAATACCCAAAACATATAAAAATTCTCAAGTTAAAAAAGTAAAGTGGCAACATTGCGAAGCTTGAGCTTTTAAAAAACAATAAATAAATGAAATAAAAATCGAAATGTTAATGAAAATTTAAAAGACATATATGCTTTAAAATATTTACAAGCTATTATCATGGTTGCAGTCAAGTTGAAATTTGATTTATTTTTAGGGCCAAAAACCCCACTTATTTATCATACATCTACGTCTGCATATTTTTTATCCTTCTATAATATTGGACTACATTCGCGAACTCTTGGATGACAGAGTTTATGACAATTAATAAAACAATAAATTTCAATTACAGAGTCAGATGACATTAAATACTCCATACTGGATGCGATAAAAACTGAGTTAATGGTCACGTTGTTTCTGTTTAGAGACAAAACATCCCCTTGGTAATTATTATGGGAGCCAATAAAGGGTGTTCCAGAAAATGGTGCCCTTGAAGTTACGAGATAATGTTATTCCTACCTCAGCTTCTTTCCGTCATCACTTTTTGAAAGTAGTGACGTGAACAGTTGAATAAAATGCTTAATCTTCCTGAGGCATTTACGTGTTTTCACCGAGAGTACAAAAAATTCTCCATACTTAAAATTTTCAACAAAAACTAGACACAACTAATCCACTATATGCAAAGTTCATTCAGTACCGTCATTTGATGTTGAAGAAAAATTATTAAGTATGAAACGCTTTCAATAAGGACGAGTGGATGTTAAAATGTAATAAAACCATTATTCAAATTCTTTTTATATTTTCGAATGGCATACGGACTATTCCTTACTTATGTGCTAATACCCCAGGATATGATTCCTCAAATAATTTTATAAATAAAAGTTGAATTTTTAAGGAAAGAATTGGTTTGGTTTTATGTTTTTGATTGTACTTTAGACATCATTTTTAGTTTTTACATATACGAAATAAGAGGATGCAAATTCACATATTGTAGTGTGAGAAGTTATTCTATTGCGTCATCAGTGGCATATAAAAAGTTGGTACACCATAAATTCCCTACGCAAAAGCTCTCACCTAGTATTTTCTCCTCAGTTGCACCGATTTTGAATAGACGGAAACATGATAACCGCTTTTGTTACCAATATTTTTGTGAAAGTCGTGTTTGCACTTAAAATATGTCGACCACTAAAACTAAAAATAGTTCAAATATTTAAACTCATTTTGAAGATGATTTTTTTTAAATTCAACAATCAATTCCCTGCAATAATAAAATTAAGCCACTACAGACATAATATGTAGATATATCTAAGCTTTTCTTATAAGATTATCTGAGGAATTTGAAATATTAGCACGTCATCAAGGAACAACATCGACCCCTTCTTATTGAAAAATCCTTTATTTCTTCTTGGTTGAATCTATTTTCTTTTTAGGGATGGCTGTCGAAGACTGTGCAGTAGGAAGGGCTGTATATGATTTATATCATGAAAGGAAGATATAATATATAAAAATACTTGATAATTTTAAATTATATAAGTAATATAGTGCTTTTGGTCAATGCAACGGTTATAAGCCTTTTTCCTTTTTCGAGCTATGTCTGAGATTAAAATGAGCATAATTGTTTTTTGAAAACTATGCCTGAATTAAGAGGATATGTGGTATTTTTAATGGCAACCATTTCTTATGCTACAAGCATTTGCAAATGAGAGATCGCTTACATATACAGGGTGTCCCATCCATGTGTGGACGGAATATTACTCATAAACAAATACATTTTGGGAAAATCTATTTATGGCATGTTATACATGACGTTTGAGGGCACATTTCTAAAATATTGGCCATCACACAGGGTATCCCAATTTCGACCTATATATCAAAGTTGTGATTTTTCAAATGGAATGCCTCAAATTTTAATGCATATTTAGAGAAACCTATTCAAAAGAAGAAAATTGATATAACATACTATGGGGTTTTGGTAATTAGCTATTGAGATATAAGGTGTTTTGTCTAGAAAAACCCCTCACTTCGACAACCCCTCAGTCCAAGATTTTGACATTTGGAGTGCTGAATTTTGTATCAAAAAAGCTTAAACACCTCAGCTTTTATCTTATTTGTTATATTTTGCAAACTGTAGTTTTTCTCAAATATTTCAAATGCATCACCCTGTATATTTGTGCAAGTTTGGATTCAATTTTTTATAAGCTTTTTTTTGATACTAGACACAAAAGGGTTTTTGTGGCTATCTTTTCGGTTATTAGCACGTCTTTTATGGAACGGCTTAATTCTCTAAAATATCGCATCATCCTTGAAACAAATAAATTGTTCATCAGTTACAAACTGTAAAAATTAGCTTTGTGAGCATTATAATAAAAACGTATTTAAAAATGAATTTTTCTAAAGAAGAAATGGTGAATATGGTGTTCGTTTCCTAGCATCTTGCATTTATAAGCAACGGTAGAGTTCGAACAGCCTAAGGTTATGCCCGCTACGTCATCACTTTATACCCTCTCCCTTGCGTCGATTGTACCCTATAAGAATATAGAAAATTGTTGTGACAGTATCTGGTAAGATTTATGGACATCTGTTACCGCCCTCTTAATGTGGTCCAGTTCTAATCGTGGCGAATATTTATATCGTAGAAAGCTTAAAAATGTATGTGGTCTTCAATGTCCAGAAATTATGTTGCTGTTGACGCTGTTAAGGGACATCCCACTCTCAGAAAGCCATAGGCGGAACGTTTTTTAGTAGGTAGATACGCAAGTTTCAGTCAGTTGAGATTGTTGACACAATTGGGATCTGATGAGACGTTTCTTCGACTTATTTATTTTTTTATTTATTAACCATATCATATTTTATATTTGATTGTGTTGAAAATTATTAATCTTATGGGGTTTGTGGATATTTGATGGAGATCCATAAATCAAAATTTAAAATAGTGAACTACCTACATATAATAGACACAATATTGAAGGGTAAAACCCCAAAGTTGGCAAACAACTGAAAGAAATTAAATTAATCCTAAGACTGTGATCCGCTTATATCTATACCAATCATGAGATTTCCTAGAGTGCATCATTAGTACCTAGATAAATAGGCTAATACCAATATCAAGCGAGGGTAAACAAAATTAGTAGAAACAAATCTAATAATAACAAGTGTAAAATTGAACTACCTGGAATAATTCCCGGTTGCTAAATCCCTTCGTTCCTCAGTAGCGTTAAGAGGATGAGTGTTAATCAATCACATTTATTTTACCTGCAACAGATATATAAACCTGTCCGTTAGTCATAAGTTCAGTTTGTAAACTACTTTGAACAAGGCACCGTGTGTAAAAATTGTCAAATAGATTGCAATATAGTGGAAATTTTTACTATTGTTCAAATTTAAATTATTAATAGTTTTGAACCAGTGATCTAAACAATGTCTGTGAAAGAGATTGGCGTGAAAGGAAAGGCGATTGGGAGTCAAGGAAAGGAAATTATCAACAATGTCAATAACTTCATGGTACAGGAAAGTGTAGAGGGATTAAAGTTTCCACTTCAACAATACCGGTATGTATGAATGTAAAAGATTTTTATAATTATTGTCAATTAAAACTGATTAACCCATTTAGGAAACGTGTGTTAGCTGCCACGGGTATAAGTAAATGTACTTATCAAAAAATAGCTAAAGAGAGCAGAGATGGAATATATTCAAGCAACTTTTCATTTTCATCCCCATCTAAAAAGCGGCAACGAAAATCACCTGTTGTGGATAAAGTGACTGCAGGCCAAATTGAAGAAATGAAAGCAATCATATACGATTTTTATATTTTGGAGAAAAGAAGACCTTCACTGAAATGTAAGTTTTTAAATTGTAACCGTAGCATCTAGTCATATTTCATTTTAAGATTTTTTAGGTATTTACCAAAAAATGCAAGATCGACACCTTAATTTTGAGGGTAAAATAACGACTTTGAACAATCTTTTGAAACAAATGGGCTTTAGGTCAGTATTCATACACACTATAAGGTTTTCGATTTACAACGCTATAAATATAATTTATATCTACAGATGGAAAAGAACTACTGATAATAAAAGAGCTCTCATGGAAAAATATGAAATTCGCTTGAAGCGTATCGAATATCTGAAGCAAATTATGAAATATGAGCTGAGAACAGGAACATAATTTATACGGATGAAACATATATACATTCTAGTCATACCCCAAAAAAAGGATGGTCAGATGACAATTATGACAAGGAACTAAAAACGCCTTTATCAAAAGGACAACGAATGATTATTGTGCATGCTGGTGGAGAATTCGGCTTTATTCCTAACGCCTTGTTGATATTCTTCTTATCACAATGTCCTGGAAGAAAAAAATGTAACGTCTTCTAGCCTGAAATTAGAGATGATTGACTGGCTAGAAAAACATCAAATTCCTAGTGAAAACTCATTGACTAAGGCCGAACTATATAAAAAAATACAGGAAAATAAAAGAAGATTTTCAGTCAAATACAAGCTAGATGCGTTAATGGAACAGCACGGGCATAAAGTTTTACGACTGCCTCCATATCATCCGGAGCTAAACCCAATCGAGAAGATTTGGGCTCTCGTAAAAAACTGGGTTGCTCCACGAAATGTGACATTTAGGTTGTCTGATGTGGAGCATCTGACCCGTAGCAGGTTTGAAGAAATTGGAGCAGATGAGTGGAAGAAAATTTGTAACCACGTGAAAAAATATGAGCAAGCACAAATGGAAAAAGAACATCTTCTCGACGATCAAATGGATACGTATCAATTCAATGTGAACACATGGTCATCATCAGAAGATAGTGACGAAAGCGACTCAGATGAAGATTTGAAGCTAAACACACTATCATCTGATAGCGATTAGATTTTTTAATGATAATATATAATTTGAATTATAACCGTCTTTAGTTTGCTCCCTCTTCTAATTCAAATTTGCTTCCGAACAACTTAATGCGCATACTAAATGAATATAATAATACAAAAATCAATTAATGTCTACATAACCTATTCACTTTATTTTATTCTTCAAATAAAATAGAACGCCACTGCGCTCTGTCGACGACCGCGTGATGAGCGGACCCGCCCACGATGACGTAGCGGTCATATTCTAAGAGCGTTCGAACCATACCCTAATATGCGACATCCACGGCCGGACATTTTCCACACCACGAGAACGTTTTGAATCAAGTGGAGCAGTGGAATATAGTAAAAAATGTATAAATAATCCAAGTGTCACCAATGAGGCGAATCAGTTGGAGGTTCTATTAAAGTTGCAAGAAAATCCTTATTTAAGTGCACGGCAAATTGGAGCAAAACCTGATATATGCAGAACTTCTGCCCAACCGATTATTCACAAGCATAGGTACCATCCATATTATGCTTGCATCAAGGCCTTCGTCCTCTGGATTTCGCAGCTCGAATGGACTTTATTAGAATAATGCTAAATAAAGTGAGCGAAGACACTACATTCCTGGATAAAGTTCTTTTTAGCGATGAGGCAACTTTTAACAGCATAGGTGTTGTCAACAGGCATAACATGCACTATTATGCGACGGAAAACCCTCGCTGGGTTAAGCAAATATATTTCCAAAATAAATGAACCTTGAATGTTTGGGGAGGAGTTATTGGCAGACAAGTTATCGGGCTTTTCTTTTTCGACAACAGATTAACAGGTACAGAATACTTGAATTTTTTGATCGAGGATTTGCCTTTGCTGTTGGAGGATGTCAACCTGCAAACTTGGATGCATATGTACCTACAACATGATGGCGCCCCTGCGCATTATCATAATCGTGTGCGTAACCATTTGAACACCTGGAGTAACAATCGTTGGATCGGTCGTGATGGGCCTATATCTTGGCCTCCTACCCCGGAAAATATGAAGGAAAGGATTAAGGATGCTTTTCTTAACTTAAGGGAACATATGCTGAACTTGCACAAATATACAGGGTGATGCATTTGAAATTTTTGAGAAAACCCTGTATGCGCAAACATGAAAATTCGAAAAAGTAACAAATAAGATAAAAGCTGAGGTGTGTAAGTTTTTTATGATACAAAATTCAGCACTCCCAATTTCAAAATGGCGGATTGAGGGGTTGCCGAATTGGACGGTTTTTCTCGACAAAACACCTTACATCTCAGTAGCTAATTACCAAAACCCCATAGTATGATATATCAATATTCTCCCTTTGAATGGGTTCATTCAAGTATGCAATAAAATTTGAGGCATTCTATTTAAAAAATCACAACTTTGATATCTAGGTCAAAATTGGGACACCCTGTATAGTTGCCAATATTTTAGAAATGAGTCCTCAAATGTCATGTATAACATGCCATAAATAGATTTTCCCAAAATGTATTTGCTTATGAGTAATATTTCGTCCACACATGGATGGGTCACCCTGTATATTTTATGATACCTTTTTGGGGAGGCGACAGCGACTTTTTCATATTAAGTGAGCCGATTTTTCAGAATAAACTCCAGCTCACTTAAATACCTTAGTAACTTGTTATGAAGGAATAAATGCCAAGTTGATAGGCTACAATTTCATCTCATCAGTCGTGCTATTTGCTCTGCCCAGGGTATAATTATATGATATCAACAACGCTCATTAATTTGCAGCACGATACCGCTGCTTTTATCATCTAGGAATGGGTTTGTTATCAAGCGGTATACAAAACAACAACCTTACAGAATAACATAATAATGGTTCATGTGCCGTTCATAAAGCCTCAGTTCTTTTACCGGCTTTCAGTCGTTCAGTGATAAATCACTCTTTATCGTGTTTTAAGGTAAGTATTCTTACACCGGGATTTTTTTTTGGTACCTAGTATTCTATAATATAGGTAATACAGCCAGACTTCTTATGAAGTGTAATATTCTACTAGCGGTTTCTAGAGCTTAAAATAGGAAGAAAAGTTTATATAAACATAGGTCGACAAACGTCCCCTAAGGGCGCCCTCAGGTTATTTTAGCCCCAAAATTTTGGTGTGATTCTATTTTTGAAAACAATTTTAGAATTTTAAAATTTAGGGTTTGCTACTCTTACTGAATATCGATAAATTGTGCCATTTTTGAATAAAATTGAACTAAAAAATTTGTCACATGATAGGAAATGTACTGCGAATTTAAATGAATTGTTGATTATACATAGTTAGCCATGACTGCAAACAAAAGTTGTTTTGATTTGTTATGACCTATTTTGACGTTAAGCTGACATTGTTAGCAGTGTAAAATTCCTAGATTGAAATCAAAATTTTATTAAATCGATTTAAAATGCCAAGATTTACAGACAGAGAACTGACTGACATGCATTTTGTGTACGGGTTATGCAATGGCAGTTCATTGGCAGCCGTAAGAGTATATCAAAGGAGATTTCCCAATCGCATAGTACCTGGACGTCGAATGTTTACAGATATTCACCGGAATTTGTCAAACCATAGAAGTTTTCAGCGCATGCAGGGCTCAGGAAGGCCACTGGAAATCATCGTATGGATATTGCTTTAAATATGTTTGAAAATAATCCCCAAATAAGTATACGAAATGTTTCAGAAATTATGGATATACCTCGATCAATAGAAAGAAAAATTTATGAATACCTATTTGATAGTTATCCTAAAAATAATAATTTTAGATAGGAAGCATGTCAACAAAGCAAGGATTACATCCTTATCATTTTAAACGGGTGCAGCATGTAACGGAGGCAGATTTTTTACCACGAACCGTGTTTTGCCAGTGGATATTAGCAAATGAAAACACTATTCCTAGAATATTAGGGTCGTATGAGTCAGTATTTACTAGGAATGGTGCTTTTAATTTCCATAGCATGCATCACTGGTCAGATGAAAATCCAAAAGTTGTTCGCCGTACAAATTTCCAACATAGATTTTCATTGAACTTATGGACAGGAGTAATTGGGGATCAAGTAATTGGGCCTAGTGTACCTCCCAATCGTCTTAATTCAGAGGTGTATCTGAACTTTCTCCAGAATGAGCTCATGGATATAATACCATTGGCTGCGCATCAGCAGTTTCAAGAAAATATGTTTTTTCAACATGATGGCGCCCCTGCATATTTTTTACGCAATGTTCGAAATTGGTTGAATGTCAATTTTCTAGACAGGTGGTTAGGCCGAGGAGGTCCTACAGCGTGGCCGCCACGTTCACCTGACCTAAATCCATTGGATTTCTATTTTTGGCGGTCATTAAAAGACCTAGTTTACCCGACTGAAGTAAATACTCAAGAAGATTTACTTCAAAGAATCCCTCAGGCTGCAAACGAAATAAGAAGAAAAAGGATTTCCACTTTTCGGGCTACGCACCCATTAGTTCGTCGAGCGAGACTCTGCATCCAAGAAAATGGGAATTTATTTGAACACTTATTGTAAAGCTAGTTTGAAGTATATCCAACTGTATGTCTCCTTTTTTAAACAAATTTCAATTTCGGTCGTAGAAAAAAATTATTTCTTTTGTTTTTGATTAATGTGTTGCAATAGAAATAGGTATTTATGTAATATTTACCAATTATTACATTAGTTGTTTCGTTGCCATGGCTAGTTATTCAACAATTCATTTAAATTCGCAGTATATTTCCTATCATGTGACAAATTTTTTAGTTTGATTTTATTCAAAAATGGCACAATTTATCGATATTCAATAAAAGTACCTTTTTTATGTAGAAAACCATAGATTTTCAAATTCTAAAATTGAATTTCAAAAATAGAATCACACAAAGATTTTGGGGCTAAAATAACCTGAGTCCGTCCCTGTTACATACGCTTCCAAACAAACCTGTCCAAAATTGTTAATATTTTTGAGTCCAGCATAAAAAACCAGGCTAGAATACCAAATTCTATGTCTTTATCTCAACACGTTTCGGAAATGTTAAGGAAAAACCATCTTCAGGGGAGCCCCTTTAAAAGACCGTAGCGCCCTTAGGGGACGTTTGTAGACCTAAATAAGTTGTATTGACGAAGATAAGTTAAGAGAGTAGAGTAGAAAATACTTTATTTACAGTCAAACTGCAAACAACTGTTCATTGCACATACGAGCTTGATAATTAGTAAACACTATATTTTCATAGTTCTCTTATCGGTCGTTACTCTCATTGTTATCATGTCTTTGCTGATTTATAGAGCAGTAGGTCAAGTATAGTTCAGGAAGGACAGGCTTAGTTATTCGTACAGTGTGGAACAGCCAAATAAAATAAATTCCTTTTATAATCCGAAAACGGTTGAATTTTCATTAAAAAAAATAAATAAGGAACATACAGGGGTGATGCGTGCATCGGCTGAATGTAGAAAGCAGGAGCTTGAGTAATGTTATCTCAAAATCTCTATACCACCTTTAACTGTGCTGTGGGTTACAGATATTAATATTTAAATTAAATTACATAATTTTATTAATGGAAAAATCTACAACTGATGAGCTTAATAATTAGCATACTCCATTTGATATGACATACTAATATGAACCGTAACATTTATTGCAACTACCCGCCCTCAGTATCTTAGATTTTGATGAGTTCATCATAAATTTAGTTGAAAAATGTCAATTCAAAATTTTTTAAATAATATTTCTTTTGGATGTACATTGATATAATTGCAAAATGCCTGCATCTATTTCTAATTTCAGAATGCAGGAGATTTAATCCTCACCCGTAATGTGATGCTTTATTTGAATCTGATTTCGATTTCGGGTTTGTTCATAAATACAGGGTGTTCCTTCTTGATATGCGAATATTTAAGGGTGTGAATCTTCATAAGAAATCAACGTTATATAAACTATGGTCCAAAAATGTTTCCTTACAAAAACTCGGGGTGTTGAAGTTTTAGGAAACAAGTGGAAATTAATTAATATCTTTAGAACGGCTTCAGATATTTCACTGATTCTTAGTACGTAGTAAAAGTCAATAAAGCTGCATGTTTTTCAATGCAAAAATAATTTTTAGCTACAACAGTGGCGTGCGTACGGGTATTGACTTCGATATTTTTTGAGAAAAAAATGGTACGCCCATGAATTTTTGCCAAATAAAAATTATTTTTAAATTCCCCGTTCAATTTTAAACAAATGATCTTTCTTGAATTATTTTCCTTCGATGCGCCATTTTTGAGTAAAAAAAATAAAAACCGTTCTGTTGTCGAGAAAGTTAACGTAATAATTGAAAAATTAAATTTAGCAATAAATATCTAGTAGCTCTGTAATATGTCATCTGACGAATCTCTGTTATTCAAATCTGTTCGCTGTGACATCGTTTTCATTATTGAGTTTTAACAATCTTAATAATGGTGAATTATTCAAATGCAGAAATGACGGAAGTGCATTACGTATATGGCCTTGCCGACTTTAATGGTGAGCAAGCCAGACGGATTTATCACCAGAGATATCCCGATCGTGCTTTGCCAGATAGTCGACCCTTTTCTAATATTCATCGTCGTCTTGTTGAAACTGGGTCTGACCAAAAAGGAACATTTGAAGGTACACCTCTAAGTGTAAGAACACCCGAAATTGAGGAAGCAAAGAACATCCTGCAGCGAGTACGAGGAAGATCGCCAGACACTTAAATATTTGCCATCAAATTATTTGGAGAATTTTAGTGGATTTGTTGTTATATTTTTACCATATTTTAAGAGTACAGGCATTAGTTTCCAATGATTTTCCAAGGCGTGTGACCTTTTGTCAGTAGTATCTTTAAAAAATTACACAAAATCAGCAATTTGGGTCAATAATTCTGTTCACGGACGATGTTAATTTTTCTCGAAATGCCATTCGGAATTTCCACAATAATCATTTGTGGGCAGAAGAAAATCCCTCTGCCGTAACCGAAACCCATTTCCAACACCAATTTTCGGTTAACGTCTGGCAGGAATTATTGGCAACCACTCTATTGGCCCATTCTTCTTGCCGGGACGACTTGAAGGACAGACTTAGTAATAAGAAACAATATGTGGTACATGCATGACGGTGCATCAGCGCATTTAAGTGTAGCGGTTCGTAATTGTTCACAAACTGTTTATCCAAATCGTTGGATTGGACGCGGTGGGCCCCAAGAATGGCCACCAAGGTCCCCAGACCTCAACAGTTTAGATTTCTTTTTGTGAGGATGTCTTAAGACATTAGTGTACACAAGTCTCATTAACACTATAGAGGAATTAACAGAAAGGATAGTTCCAGCTTGGGATAGAATAAAAAACACTGCAGAGATATTTCAACGATTGCGCAATTCCATGAGAAGGAGGGCGGAAGCATGCATACTAAGTGAAGGGGGCCATTTTCAACAATGTTTGTAATCATTTCGTTAGTTTTAATGTTATGTTTATGTTGTCAGTTGTTGTTGTTCATTACCCCTAATGTGTTCAATTTTTCCAATTAAATTAATAATATACTAAGTGACATATAACTCCGAACACCCAGTTTAAATGGTTTTATTTTAATAAAAGTTGGTGAATGTATTTGTCTTACTGTAAATAACAAGTGAAAAAATTTTCAGCCTTATCAGTTAGACATTAAGGTTTTTATACTGCTTTTTTTTAATTCACTAACGCTCTAAAAATGAATATTTCAGCTGCAGTAAAGAATCAACGTTGGCGGATTTTGGTTCTTGACATCATTTACGATCGGTTACGATGCCTAGAGTACGGAGACCTGTACGATTTCGTCAACTTAGTGAGTTTGATAGGGGCCGTATAGTGGGACTTCGGGAAGCTGGACTTTCTTTTCGAGCAATTGCAGTTAGAGTGCAAAGAAGTGTAGACACTGTGGTTAGGTGTTGTCAGGCATGGCTTCGAGAAGGCCGTACGCAAAGAGCAAGGGGCACTGGACGCCACCGTAGAACAACAGACCGTGAAGATCGCCGCCTAAGATTATTGGCCTTAAGGGACCGTTTCTCCACTACCAGGTCCATTGCAAATGAATGGTTTGCAGAACACGGAAGACCTATTGGCATGCGGAGTGTTTACCGACGAATGAGAAGTTCTGGCTTGTTTTCATACCGGCCACACTGGGTCCTCCCTTTAACTCGAGAACACCGACGTAATCGCCTTGAGTGGTGCAGACAACGGTCACTCTGGGATCAGGAATGGAACAGTATTGTCTTTAGTGACGAGTCTCGATTTTGTTTAGGCATGCACGATGGTCGTGCCAGGGTTAGAAGGCGACGTGGTGAAAGGAGGAATCCACAGTTTTTTGTTGAAAGATATGTTCATCACACTGTTGGAGTTATGCTTTGGGGTGCTATAGCTTATGGTTCCAAGTCACCTTTAATCTTCATCAGAGGTAACATGAACGCGCAACGTTATATCCACGAAGTTCTAGAACCCCATCTTTTACCCTATCTTTTACCCTATCTTAACACCCTGGCAGATCCAACTTTCCAACAAGATAATGCCCGACCACATGTTGCAAGAGTCAGAATAGACTTCTTTCAACATAATGATGTCACATTGTTACCATGGCCACCAAGATCTCCCGACTTATCCCCAATTGAGCACGTGTGGGATATGATGGGTAGGAGATTGCTCAATTTGCAACGTCCTCCTCAGACACTAGAAGCACTTCGAGAGGAGTTGGTGGTTGCCTGGAATGAGATACCACAGGAGGACATTGACCACCTGATCAGAAGCATGCCTAGGCGCGTTGGAGAATCCGTAGCACATCAGGGTGCATCCACACATTATTAAAGGTCAAAGGGCTTTAGAGCAGTGCAATCATTTTGAAATTTTGATCATTTACTTATTATGCTTCATTAAGTACTTATACAAAATTTTATTAAAATAAAACCATTTAAACTGGGTGTTCGGATTTATATGTCACTTAGTATAATTTTGCAAGTTAGACAATAGAACGGTTTGTATTTTTTTACTCAAAAATGGCGCATCGATAGGAAACAGTTGAGGAAAGATCATTTGTTATAAATTGAACGGAGAATTCAAAAGTAATTTTTATTTGACAAAGAATCATTGGCGTACCATTTTTTCTTAAAAAATATCGAAGTCAATACCCGTACGCACGCCACTGTTAAAGCTAAAAATTATTTTTGCATCGAAAAATATGCAACTTTGTCAACTTGCACTACGTACTAAATATCAGTGAAATATCTGAAGCGGTTCTAAAAATATTAATTAATCTCCATTTTTCCAAAAACCTCAACACCCTGAGTTTTTGTAAGGAAACATTTTTGGACCATAGTTTGTAAAGCAACTAACATTAATTCTTAATGTAGATTCACACAATTAAATATTCGCATACCATTAAGGAACACCCTGTATATTACAGTATTCACCATAACGAATTTATCGAATTTTGCTGCTCCACAATACTTAGGATATATGGGAAGAGCAGCAATGCAGATTTTATAGGAAATACCATTTTCATCTTTCCCAATTCTTAAGAATGAGATTCACGACTACCCATAATGCATAAATGTTCAAATATTAGCGGAACCGTGGAATGAAATCACAGCCTATGAATGGAATGGAAGTTGGTAGATGAAAAACTTTCTACTATTAAATAAACTATTGCATTTATACAGAACTCCTGAAGATCAAACATATAGGATGCTTTTCGTAGACGAAAGTACCGTAAAGAAAATCTTAACATGGGAAAACACATTCAAAGCAGTGGAAGCAGCTATGCAACGGGTATCTGACGGGCGTATCGTCCAAAAGCCACGAATCATGACCTTTATTCCAAACACCAGCAACGTAATGGGAACCATGCCAGGATATTTGCAGGACAAGCAGTTTGGTGCTTTAGGTTGTAAAATTGTGACATCCTTCCCTAATAATGCTAAACTGGAAAATCCTTTACCTTCAGTAAATGCTAATATCATGATACTGGACGAAACAACTGGCATTATGAAAGCGGTAAGTTTTCCAGTAAGCTACTTAGACAGTTTATTCTGGTTACAAAAACTTGCACACACATTGAGGAGAAACGACGCGAAGGGAACCGCGACTACATTTTACATTTACACATGTCAAACGTGTCTGGTCGCTTAACTTCGCCTCGCTCCAGTGTGCGGGCTGTCATTTCGTCGAGTGAAAGCAGAACTACTGTATGTCCAAATTCTACATTTTTCAGATTTTAACACGACATTGTAGGTCATAGTCACCTACACTGCCTGCAGAGGTCTTGAACGATATTTGGCGTAATAGCTTAAGGCGTGTCATTTCGCTGCATAACTATGATAAGAGCAGATGATCACTTAGAGAACTACTGTAAGTCCAATGTCAGCAACAAATATAAGTCCACTTTCACGGACTTGTCATACTTTTTTTCCGGTAAAACATTCTATGTCCAAAATTTCTCAGAAATGTTAGGCAAGGCACAAACACGAAAAATACTCGTAGCTCTCCTGTAAAATTTGCATTTTGTGACATAATACTTCTGCATTTAAGCGACGATTTGATTATGTGTAACGGAATCCAGGGGATGAGTTTTGTTTCCCTCCGTCCTTTCCCCTTAAATAGCGCGCACCTATTACTTTATCGGAAACGGATAGAGTTAAATAAATAAAAAAGCTGCAATATAAAGTACCCCTCATATAAAATTGACAGAACTTTTTTGGTTTTAAAGTTCATTTATATTTTCAATTTTACATTTTATACATGTTATATCATTTAAATTCAACTTTACTTTTTGAAAAATTTATTTGAGGACAGTAGCTACTTCGTGTGTTCGGACATCTTTGTGAAAAGGTCAGAATTTTTTGAGAAATTTAGAAAATTTGCTATCATCACTTCTGATTGTCTCAGGTTAGGTCATATTCAAAACCATTATAGAGCTCAAACGTTATTGCTTCCTTAAAAAGACTGACGACACGGTGATCTTATCCAATAACCTCGCAGCCCTTCACATGTGGGTCTGCACTTGAATATTGCCAAAACAAAATTGGTCGTCTTCTCCAAAGTACCAAAACAGATCTCCATCGAATAAATAACATCGAAACAACTGTTCACTAGCCGGTATCTGAGTTTGAGACTCCGTATCCGCCTGCTGTGATGTTACATTTTCTCTGTGCTTTTATACGGCGCTGAAAGCTGGACTCTTAGTTCGTCGTTGGACAAAAGGATTGCCTTTAACATGTACAGTGTGCGTCGTCCGTTACTTTTTTTTCTATTTGAAAAATCAACACGCTTTTTACCAGCTGAAATCGAATTTGCTCATTGATAAATGAAGGTTGGTTTATGCCATTTATGTATGGAAAATAACATCAGTCATGTGACCACTGCGGCTTCGTTTACAGGCGGGTCTATGGCCGCAATTTCAGTCGAATATTGCGCTTTAGGTCTTGAATTGTCCGGAGACCATTCACATACACTTTTCCTTTCAAAAATCCCCAAAGAAAATAGTCAAGAGGGGTTAAATTGCATGATCTCGGGGGCCAACTGACATCTGAAATTCGTGAAATTATGCGGTCTTGAAATCTCGTGTGCAATAAGACGATTGTTTGGCGAGATGTGTGACCCGTTGCTTTGTCTTGATTAAACCAAAGATCGTCGGCACCAATACGATCCAATTGTGGCCACAAAAAGTCTGTTAACATGTCGCGATAACGTTCCCCCTTGACGGTAATGGCCTTTTCTTCGGCATGTTCAAAGAAGAATGGTCCAACGATGCCACCAGCCCTTAATCCGCACCAAACAGTCACTTTTTCAGGATGGAGAGGTTGTTCATGATATTGGTGTGAATTTTAAGCCCCCCAGAATTTGCAATTTTGCTTATTTACGTACCCATTGAGGTGAAAATGAGCCTCATCAGAAAAGGGCACTTTGGCCGAAAATCCGCCTTCTGTTTCCAGCATCCAATTAACAGAAACACGCCGCTGTTGATGGTCTGCCGGCTTCAATTCTTGTGTTAGTTGGATTTTGTATGGATGGAGGTACAAATCAATGTGGTAAAATCCGGCGTAAAGTGGTCTCACTAATTCCCAATTGTTGCGAACGGTGCCTAGTCGAGGTGGTTGGATCTTCTCGCACACTTTCACTCACTGCGGCTATGTTTTCACGAGTACGAGCTGGATGAGCATGTTGGTATAGTCTACGACCTACAGCTGAACCAGTTTCCTCAAAACTAGTGCGAAGTTTGCGAAAAGTATTTTTTATATTTCGACAGTTTTCGTAATAAGTTTGGATAACCAAAATGGGTTGTTGTGTTGTAAACGAATCCATGACTATAAATGGCATACCTTTGACAGTTCATTTACGCATAACACATGGCTTTTGACACACATGGTATCATAGAGGGCAAGATCGTTGGTAAAAGATCAGTGGGAGCACTACGAAATTCATGGACGGTGTTGGTACGGAGGAACTTAGGTCGAGATCTTCCGAGCTGCAGCTCCTCTGGCAGTTGGTTCAAGTTGGATTGCCAACCATCGATAGGGAGAATAAGCAATGCTTAACTCGACTCATATAAAATTTCAAAATAGGCATAGATGAATGCTTGGGCAGTACCGAATTAATCTACCTTCCCCTATTTTTTCCGCAACATTCTTTTATTAAACCTTCCATAGCCAAAAACGATTTTAGTGTTTCAGGATCTTCAGCCTCTAGAGACAACAGCATGGTTGATAGTATAGATAGAAGTTGCTTTATAGAAGTCGTTGGATATTTTAATCACTTCTTATTCCAAAAAGCTTCTTTCAGCTGTTGCAGTCTTAATCTTGAGGCATAAAAGATCATCTAAGGATCAGCGCTTGAGAATTTTTAATTCAAAGTACGGATTAAAAGCTTGCCTTAGATTGTTAAAAACACGTCAGACACTTGTTTCTTCGTTTGTGGGGGCCTCTATAAGCTGGAGGAACCTGTATCATTGATACGGCTGATACGGCGATAGCTACGCCCCTGATTATCATTGACACAGAAGAACAACCTCTTTTTCCATTTTCATTATAAGCTTGTTAGAAGCCTGACCCTTTCTGTTCCTTTGTGAAACAAACCATCCGCAGCTCCATCACAATAAACTTGTTTGAAGTATAAACAAGAAATTTGAAAGAATGAAAGATGAGAGCCTTGAGAGAAATAAATGAATATTTTTGCAGCTCTTGGGTGACTTATTTGTGATTTTAGATACAAAACAGAAATTCTGGAATACAAAATAAAAATTTAGTGGAGATGGTTATTCAAATTTAAGTCCAGCACAAGTTAGACCTTATCGCAATAAGACCTTATATACGCATAGAGGATAGTTGCTATGCTTTCGTTCGTTGTCCCAGAAACCAAGCCTAGGCCATGCTGATCAGCTACCGAAAAGTACGAAATAGCTGTATTTAGCTGATCTTGATTGGACAGACAAAAGCAACATGTTCATGTTAGACTCTCTAAGAAAAAAGTTAGTTACCGACATGTATCACAGAGAACTTAAGTGGATCAAGTCCATCAAACAGGTCCGTACAATTAGCCCATCTGGCTACGTCGCGTCGCCTATCCCCAGTATCTGAATGCATGATGGGTCACACGCGGCAGAGCGCCTAAACGGCCACGTCAGTTGAAGTCAGCACATGCAGGGACTCTTGTGGAAAACATTTTTCTATCGTTCTGCTTTGAGGGCTAATGTACTTTCCAAGGTATAGATGGGCGAAGGATTAGCGGACAGACAGACAGACTGGCGGAAATGAGTGACATGGTTTCTCTTGCAGTATCTACATGTCATATAACATCAAAAAAACATTTTCGGAATTTCTCGCGATTACAATACCTAGGCCAGTAGGCGTGGGAAGTAAAAACAAATGAGATATGTTGGAAATTCTAATATATGTTTTATAAAGGGATCGATTGAAGTACTGAACAACAGTCTTAGCATGATTGGAATGTTTACAGGTAATTGCTGGTACAGAAATCACTACACAAAGGACTGCAGCTGCATCTGCTGTTGCAACTAAGTACTTATATGTCAACCAATCGAAGCCATGTATAGTACTGGCTGTTCTGGGAACTGGAGTCCAAGGAAAGATCCATGCTGAGATGTTTAGGCATTTTTTCCATTTCCAGGAGGTACCTTATTTTTAATAAAAATTATTCGAATAAACTTAGGTCTTGATAATGTAGTTATACAGGGTGTACACGTTATGATAGTCATTATTTAAATGAGTGATAGAGGGAGTTGAAGGAAGCAAAAAGTTTTATATAACATGGTGGTCAAAACGACATTTTTTTAGAGAAAAGCGACTTTAAAGTAAAATAAAATCTGAGAAGTTTGTTATTTTTGGCTCTTAGGCATTATTTCATTATTTGATAATGTACTCGTAAAATGCAAATAATAAAAAAAAACGGACTTACCACTAACTGTCTCAGCGCTTCACCTGGTGTGTGAAAGTTCTTTGAACGTATTAAAAAACTACTTATAAATAGGGAACACAATTATGATACATACACTGTTTTTCTTTCTAAAACCCACACTGCACTTTTTTGTATTTAAAGAAGGAGTTCAAAATGTCGTTCTCCACTTTCCACACAAGCTTCATTACGACGAACCCAGTTTCTTCTTACTCTGGTCCTCGAAGTTGTCTATTTATTATTTCAACCGCATTAAAATTTTTTTCGCGAAGTTGTGCTTCAGTTGTTGTTGGACCAGCCCCATAAACCATCCCTTTGAGTTCTCCCCAATACCAGAAATCCATCAGATTGAGATCAGAAGATCTTGCTGGCCATTTTTGAGGATCAGGAGCATTTCGACCGATCCAGCGATTTGGATAATGTTCATTCAAATACTGAATGACGCCTCTAATAATGTCATGAAGAAACCACAAAGTCTGTCTCCGTTGTAATGGCATGTTGTTTAAGGTCTGTTTCAAAAGTTCTGGTAGGTTATTGGCTAGAAAGCTAAAGTATCCTTCTCCTGACAACTTTGGGGGTAACTCGAAAGGGCCAATTACCTGATCGTCAAGAATATCCGCCCAAATATTTATTTTAAGACGTTGTTGGAAATGACCTTCACGAATGGCATGAGGATTTTCTTGGGCCAACGTGTGAGTATTATGGAAATTCAATATCCCGTCTCGCGTAAAAGTACATTCGTCCGTCGCTAGAATGTTTTTAAAAAAATCCGGACAATGTTTTTGTGCAAAAAACACTGACATAATGTTAGTCTGCGATGATAGTCTTCTGGTAACAAGGCCTGCACTCGTTGTACATCCTAGGGATAAAGCAAATTTTCCCGTAGGATTCTAAGGACTAATTCCCGAGTGCTGATATCTGCATTGACTTCCACGATATTAAACGAAATCTGTCGCGATAAATTTGAGCTGCAAGATTTGTATTCTTACGAGCTTCACCGTAAACTAACAACATGTCGGCGAACTCTTAATTCGAGAACATTGTAAATAAACACGTCGACGTACGCGAAATATAACTGACCACTGTTACCGTTTGCGATCTATTGCCGGTTCGATAAGAGTGATGAAAGATCGACGCGCTGTTGTCATGTGTGTTTTAAATATTTAATTTATTGAAACTTGCTTACTTACTTACTGACTACAAATTTTGACTTAACTTAGAAAAACTTAATGTCATTTATTTGTTTATTACCCAATTTAAAAACGTTTTAGATTAGATTATAAAAATTAGTAAGATTGTGGTGATTGTGGTCGATATAAAGCACTTAAAGTTGTAAACTATAAAGCCATTTAGACAAAAATCTATTGACTTTTGGACCATGGGTCATAGAAACTTCTTGATTTGTTTTGACCCCCCGCCTATTAGCCATTTCCATAATGACTACCATAACGTTTACACCCTGTAGACTTGATGTCCATGGTATATCCATTTCAATGTAAAGACAATAGAACATAAATATGGGTGAATTAATTCCATTGCCGTGGTTGTATTACTGGATTCTAGCCATTTTTGAATTCAGCCTCGCTGACAATTTATGATGAAGGTACGCAAAATAAACTTTAAGGCCCATATCGTCAGTCGTCCCTACAATTATAGCGCGCCTTTATGGCCTCCTTGATTGTCATAGTTTTCTACTTCTCCGTGTCAGAACTCTATTTTGAGGTTATGTCACAAACATCTATTTGCATCAAATTGTGCTTGCTTTTGAGTTATCATGTTTTATTAGCCTGAAATTTCCTACAATTTAAAAAGAAAACATATCTTCACAATAGAAGAGCGCTGAAGCTGACACGGGACAAGTGTAATCTAGAAATTTTTGAAGGAGAGAAAGGGGTATGACAATCAAGGAGGCCATAAACGCGCCCTACAATTGTAGGGACGACTAATGATACGGGACTTAATCACTTTTATTAGACTATATAATGCAGGACTGTTATATTTTAACTACCTGTTACCCGCAAATTCATTCGCATAAAATTGTTAAAATAACCAAATTTTTAAAATTACCATAGATGTAACCCAATTTTACATTATAAAAATCCCTGTCTGTAGTCTCCAGTTAGAAGAGGTAAATATGTATGAAATTGAGGTAGCCCTTAAAATATTTTTCTCCCATGTCACAAGATCCATTCGTGGATCAAACTACTCTAAAGAACCACATTATTGCCAATTTCAGGTATCTAGCAGAAAAATCCCAAAGAATTCGTCGGTTCGCTTTAACTCCCTTAATATGGTTCCTGTTGCAAAATCCGTTCTTAACTGACATTTATTGCATATAAACTACTTTACTACCAAATTCTCTGTTACAAGTACAAAAAAAAAATATTCGTACAAACCTCTAGGTGTTTCTATCCCCATTTCATCTGGCCCTGCCGCGAAATCCATTCTTAGCTGACATGTCCTGTTCCTAAGCTACCCTTCTGCCAAATTCCATGTTCATATGTTACATAGGTACGTTAAGAGATTTCGTGTCAATTTTGTGTGAATCTTCTCGCTTTTACAAATATTTGCCCTTGGCCTCCTTGACCTAGCCCTCACGTAAGATCCGTTTTCAGCTAGTTCACTACAGAATTTCATGTTCATAAGTCAAATTGTTTTAAAAGTTTCGTGACTAGTGAGCATCTTTTCACTTCTACATAATTATATCTGCCCTCAGCCCCCCTCAATCTAGCCATGCTACAAAAGTTGTTCTTAGATGATGATGTGTCTTATCGGTAAGCTATCTCTTTCGAATTTTATATTCATAGGTAAAATAGTTTTCGCGATCTGAAAAGTGATAATGTTCCTCGTATAAATATTCAACCACCTCCTACCCCATCTTAAGAATATAGTTTCTGGAATTCTTTGTTCACATTTTTTATTTCAGAGATGAAATCATAGTCAAAATATACACCTGCTTCTAGGCTGGGTTGATTTGAAATATTCAGTGTTGTTCAGCTTCAAGAATTTTAACCCCTTCTTCACCCCCTACGGGTTTAATTTCTAAAATTTTTTTGCACCTGTTCATTTACATTATACCATACATATAAAAAATCCATATCTGTATCCTTAACTTAAAAAATAATAGTCACTTTGGCCGCCTATTTCAAACCCTAGTCTTACTTTCGCAATCTGTGATAAAATTCATTAAAATCGGTTCGACCGCTTTTGCGAAAAGCAAAACATACACACTGCCGCATTTATAATATTAGCAGGGTCTTTTCTTTTTTGTTGTCTTGGATTAAAATTTCCGATTTTATTCACATGGGTGACTTCGAAGTTGAGTCATTTATTTTAACAGTGAGTAGATCTGATCAAAAGAAATGTTTTTTTCCTTTACCATTTTTCTGGTAAAATTAAAGTAACAAAGTTATAGCCCTTTGGAAGTTTGAGTACCGCCCTGTCTCAATAATAATATTATGTGCTCGTGTTTGGCGACAACGGATATAATCCGCCTTATCGGTTCATCGCATCGGAAACAAAAAAGCGAAAGAATTTGGAACGATGTTTTTACAATTATTTTATTCAGTTATACAGTCAGTGTCAGTCGGTAACGCGTGAGTGAATAGTGGTGTCTGTTGCGTGGCTCAAACGAAATCAAAAATGGCACATGTTTACGAAAATGCTGAACTTGTGGACATGATTCTTATTTACGGGGGGGGGGAGTCGGTTTCCCAATCGAGTGCAACCAACCCCTCGTGCCTTTGTTAATGTAGTACAAAGGGCTCGTGAATCAGGTGACTTAAGACCTCACAGGGGAGGGAATATGCTGGTGTTCCAAGACCGCACGATCAAATACAGGTCCGCACTGAAATACTTGTCGGGAGGATACTTTATAAAACAAGGTAACATTTTTTTTTCATTTTTTTTTCATTTTTACACACATATTTTGGTTTATCTTCCTTCTACAATCATTATCTGAAAATTAATGACTCAACTTCAAAGTATAAGGCAAACATTTATACGAGTATGTGAATCTTCATTATTATACAGGAATGTTTTACAAAGTGTAAATGATTTAACCATTTTCTAAAGTAACCCTTTAAGCGCAAGCAGATCATACTGATTTAGATCATACCTCAGATTTTAAATTATCTGGTAAACATCGGCTCAAGTAATAATTATTGAAACTATACTTACTAGGTTCGTCTCTGGAATAGAACTAAAGAAACAGCCAGATCGTTAGCAGAAGAGCTGAACAAGAAGTACAACACAGATTCATTCAAGTACTACGAAGACAATGAGAGCTGTGTTAGAGGTGCTGATGTTATTGTTACTACAACCAATTCACCCGTTGCCATTGTTCGACTGAGCTGGCTCAAGCCAGGAGCGCACTTAAATGGTTCGTATCTAGGTACATACCATTGATGGACGTGTTTCACTAATTGAAGAATATCAAGTAAAAGTGAATAACATTTCTGTCTTATTCAGCGGTAGGAGCCAACAGACATCATTTCAATGAACTAGATAAAGAAGTGTATAGAAATGGTGACCTCTTCGTCGACAGCGTAGAAACATCACAAGCTGAAATAGCTGGTTTGGATAGTGTGGCAGACAACCTCAAAGGAGAAGTAGGTGCTGTTATCAATGGAACTTTAAAAAACAGTCCCAACGATAGAATTACTATCTTCAACGGAATCGGTAAGTTTTTGAGATATCGCATCGGTGTGGTACCGCAAAAAGAGCTTCAAATTCTACGCTTGTGAGTTGTTAATTGTGCAATGAACTAAGTCAAAACGCTGTGCTGGCCAAACAAAACTGTCTTACTACCAAACAACGGAGTATTTAAATTGAAAAACTTTATGCAAGCTGAGATACCAGCTTATTATTCATGTATGAAGTTCCGAAGAGAGAGAATTACTTCTAGAATGGAAAGTTCAATCAAGAATAACGAAATAATTTCCTACAAACATACATCCGACAAGGTCCCATTACCAGGCTGCTTTACATTTCTACCCAACTGATGAGACTGAATCAGGACAAACCATGAACATTTTGTAAATAACGCTAAAGTGAGATAGTATTGCTCTCCTAATACAATACATGCAATTTTCAATTTCAAACTTCACTATCTTCAGCGCATTCTTAAAGTAGAATGGGTTGAAGATTTATATGCGGATTTTACCCCAAATATTTAAATCAATTTTTCTCAAAAGAAAAACAATAATTCCTCGTAAGTGACGATTCGTGAAAAATTGAATGCTTTATCCAAACATCCAATGGATGTTAAGAAAAGTCAACGATGCAGAAAAAAAATTTCTTCAGACCCCAGGCTATGGTGTCAGTACTATGTATATGTACACATCTTTAATTAATTCACTCCTCAGGTATATATTTCTTGTCGGTTTTAAAGTTATAATTTCAACAATAACTAACTCGGCAAGGGGGCGTTTTAGAATCATATGTATTTGAACTTTTCGTGTTATTTTTTGATCTACTTTATGCCCTGGAAATATTTCCACGTCTGTCTGAATCACCCTGTATATAGCTACGAAGAGTGAAGTCATATGGTTTTGCCAATGATCAAGCATTCTTTTAGATGTTTAGTATGAATTTTAAATCAGCATTTGAGTACAGCTGTCTTCCAGTGAAGTTGCCGAAAAAAATTTCATTATCTGAATATTTGGTCATGATCTCTGATGAAAATAAATCATATGAGATTTTAATAAATATGATATACCGCAATATTCCGTTCTCATCAGGTTTTCATAGATGACAATTGTATTTTTCAGGAATGGCGGTGGAGGACTGTGCGGTAGCTAGAGTTGTATACGACTTATACACAGTAAAAAAATAAGTCATGAAGAATTCAATTAACCTAATTGCACCTTTATACATCTTCGATTTTAAAACCTCTGTACACAAACGTATTTCTATACGTTTATTGCAACTTGCTTATCCCGAACTCAGTCTAGAAAGTGAAAGAAGACGTAATAATGCAAAACCGTGCTGTATCTTTTGCTTAATAAATATGTTGCTGCCAACTTTTTTTAATACTACTAAAAGTGGACTTTTCTTTCAACTGAATAATTTTTGTTCCCTATGTAAGAGAAATATTTCTGATGCATAGCGATAAAAGGACTGACAAAAGTACTATTATTATTCGTACTAGACCAGATATATTTTTATTCTCTTTGCCTGACATTGCTGCGCCACATACGCTGATTCTTCGCATCTGGGGAATCACCGATGATACTCGATGAATTGGTTACATCGCCTAGGCCTAGCGGCTCGTGACAAGTCCATATCTGTATTGTACGATTTGTATGATTTCGTGTACTTAGTAATTCCGAATTCGGCCAGTATTAGTATTGCCTGTCTTGCAGTCATTTTTTTTTTCGCGTGCGTGTGCCCAACATTATAAGAAAGACTGGGAAGAATTGCTAGATTTCCAAGGCTGGCTTAAAAAAGCAATATAGGGCGCGATTATGCGAAATGCATGGTCTGTGATAAAGATTAATATCTTTATCAAAAGTGGAAGAGATGCACTTATAAAACACGCTTGGGCAATTTCATAAAAAAGTGCAAACCATAGCAAAACAGCCAAAACTGTTGTAATTTGCAGTTGCAGGTGCATCAAACAAATTAGAAAATGATATTAAAGAAGCTAAAATTAATTAATCTATTTGAGAGGATTTGAGATTATTTAGATAATTTTATTTCCAGGAGAAATTCGTTTGTGCGCATTTTTGGCCGAGCATAATTTGCCAATCCTGCTGATGGACCATTTGGCAAAGCAAAATTAGTAGATACTATGACTGATAAAAACCTATACAAAAATGAATCGGAAGAATGATTATCCAGTATAGCTTACACATTTTTTATTTTATACACTTTTTCTGTTTTTTATTAAGAATATTTTATTTTTAGTTAGCTAAAGTGAGATATAAACTGTTTATTTTTGATTTGCCTTTCTGTTTTGGAGTATATTTTGAGGTAAATGAAATTGTTTTAAGTAAATGCCTTCATTTACTCTTCGGTATTCAATCTACCGAAAAACTACCGAAAAATTCCATATAATTCTACCGAACTCCACCTGGCAATACTGTGTCCACGCGCGCCGCACCAGGAACCAGTGGAATACTGTCAGTCCGTCAGTCGTAAAGAGTCAGTCAGGAGTCAGTCGAGGGTCGTGGGAAGCAGTTGAAGAACAACAGCAGCCAGCGCACGCGCGCGGATCGCGGAACGCGGAAGCCCGGTCTACACCTATCGCGTATATACACATTCTCAACAATTTTTCTAGCCGTTACGTTGCAAGATTGGTGTATATACCTGCTAGGAGTAAGTACATGTCTCCCACAACCACCAAAACGCTATAGTATGTTATAATCAATTTTCTTCTCTTGGAAGGTTTATTCCGAATCCGAATTACAGAATGTACCGTTAAAAAAATTGTAAAGTCTTTTAAGCAGATTAGTTGTCGAGTTACACATGTAATTCAATGTACAACAATGCTTGTCTATGACATCTCGGCAGTACACCATCTTGGAAGATGGTAAATCTAATCTCTGTAGATATTAACGAGATAATAAGTAGTTTTAAAATGGGGTGTCTCCTGAAGCCTCATTCAATTAAAAGTATACGTATAGTATAGCATGCATGCACTCACTTCATTACCCGAATTGCAGTTTGCCAATTTCACCTTGTCAAAAAATAAGTACCAGTTGAAGAGTACTGTATATTTAAACAGGGTGACTTTGAAGTTGAGTCATTAATTTTCAGATAATGATTGTAGAAGGAAGATAAACCAAAATATGTGTGTAAAAATAAAAAAAAAAAAATTACCTTGTTTTATAAAGTATCCTCCCGACAAGTATTTCAGTGCGGACCTGTATTTGATCGTGAGGTCTTAGAGCACCGGCATGCCGTCCATATGTGAGGTCTTAAGTCAAATGATTTACGAACCCGTTGTACTACATTAACAAAGGCACGAGGGGTTGGTTGCACTCGATTGGGAAACCGATCCGCATAAACATGTGCCATTTTTTATTTCGTTTGAGCCACGCAACAGACACCACTATCCACTACAGACTGACACTGACTGTATACAACTGAATGAAATAATTGTAAAAGCATCGTTCCAAATTCTTTCGCTTTTTTGTTTCCGATGCGATGAACCGATAAGGCGAATTATATCCGTTGTCGCCAAACACGAGCACATAATATTATTATTGAGACAGGGCGGTACTCAAACTTCCAAAGGGCTATAACTTTGTTACTTTAATTTTACCAGAAAAATGGTAAAGGAAAAGAACATTTCTTTTGATCAGATCTACTCACTGTTAAAATAAATGACTCAACTTCGAAGTCACCCTGTATAGAAGCAGTGCGACACTTGAGAGTATTTTTTTGGGGCTAAATCTCGGGTTAAAACTCTTGGTTATTGTATAGTCTGACCAGTTATTCACTTGCGTATTTATGTACTCTGTGTCTACATAATCGAGTTGCTCTATTTGGTAATAAATATGTCCATTATTTTCCTGAATCAACAATGTAGTCAAATGAAATCTCTTACAGATATTGTGCTCTAATTTAGGTTCTGAAAGCATGCAATGACTTCGAGTCGGAAAGGCTAGAGCAACAATGCAATGAGAACTGTTAGAGATATGTGGGTTGTCTATACCTCATTCTTCATTTATTGCGCATATGAGTTGTCGCTGACTTACCCCGCGCGTATGCGCCGCTAGGACAATTCAAAGATGAAATAATTTTACTAGCTGACCTCCGGAGCAGCAGCGAGATCTATCCGCTATCCCTCAAGTACATCCTCGTTTGTTCTACCGCTTTCTGCACGCCGCTGGATAAATAGGAGCGCTCCTATATCACCGCTATACTGCTATGCAGGAAATTTGGATCAGGAATTGAGCAAGAATACCGGATCAAAGATAGGCGACAACACACTTACTAAGTAGATTTCTTACTGTTGGAACACAGTTCCAACTTATCTTGAAATTGTATTCTTTCTACTGCATTCTATTTTACTTCCAATAACATGTCAAATTCTTGGCGTCTGTCCCAGTGCTATTTCCAGAGGTCGACAATAATAATAAATTATCCGATCTCGCTGTGCTACCATTTCTTCGTATACTATTGTCTGGTTCATATCAACGGAAAAATATCTTGGCGTATTGGGCAGGGAATAGCCAAATCTAAATTTTGCTTCAATGCATTCTTATTGCTAAACTTTTTATAATAAAAGAAAGATGTATGTAAAGAATTAACGGAAGCGTAAGTCGATGAAAATTGAATAAATCTCAAGTGAAATAAGACATTAATCCTTAATTGAATACCTATACAGTACTGAGGAATTATTGTTGAAACCGAAGAAACTTTACGAAAAATGACTTGAGCCATGCGGGTATCATACAGGTATATCTTGACGTTGTATCGATTTTTTTGATATTTTACTATTTTTTTTGACATTACGAGGTTTTTTTACAAGATGTATGTAGTTGTACGTGTTGACTAACCGTCATGAGGTTATCAATGTTTGGCTCTGATGTGATGTAAAATCTGCAGCAGAGATGGTACTACTGGAGGTCTAAGCTGTAAGTTGTATGTGTTGATGATAATCCCATTGGATTCTTGTCTCAAATACACTTAATCGAGATTCAAAGTTAGAAATTAGTTGCGCATCCACTTTTTCTTATCCAGTCTGGACCTTACATATACAAATTTGCTGAATTGCGAAAATGAGAGAGATAAGAAATAATTATATTCACTGTACACTGTCGAAGTACATACCATATACATGCTAACAGTAATTACACACAACGCGAGCGCGGTGATGATTTCCCGTAATTCTCCTCAGTTTTTCGTCATTTATAACTTTGAACATAAGCTATCTTCAGAAAGCACAACGTGTAGTCGTCAGAACGGAACTACTTAGTCATACATTTGAAATAAACTCGTTACAAGTGCTGTTATGAACTAGCGAAGGTAATAAATTAGATTTTAACTAATAGCAACGATGTGCATTACAATATTCTTTCTGCATTTATTGATAACTGATTCTGCTTCCGCTCATAAATGTCTGAAAAGAGCCCAGTCTCCTACTGAGCGACGATAAATATTCTGTTGCTAATTTTTCAAGCTTTGGGTACTGCTCTACATATGCTGGCAATCATCCATAACGTTTTGCAGTCTGATCCAGTCAATCTAATTTGCAAACTCTTAGCCATCCTCCTAAAAACTGTCGTGTATTCAACTGTTTTTTTCATTTTTACTGGCACTGTAAAGAGATCGATTGTAACTATACTATATTCAAATCACATTGACGAATTCACGCTTTCCCGTTCGGCAGTAAACCGCAGGTAGACACAGGTGAATAGAATCGGTGATTAAGTGCTCATGATTGTTTTGGCGCAGAGTGAATGATCAGATACAAATGAAAATTGGTACCGAATATTCGGAGGCTGAATATTTGACGCTTCAGCAAAAAGGGTGTCCGAATATTAGGTCTTTGGCAAAATCATTGCTCGTGGCACCTCGTGGCGGAAGTGAAAGGAACACATACCTGTATGTTAGACTCTTTCACCATTTTTAAAGGTCCAAAGACCATTCACCATTTCTTAAAACAACCGTGCTAGTGTTTTTTGCTAGTCACTACCACGATGCAGTGATTTGTTTTGTTGAGAGTAGTGGCTGAATTTTTCATGACTCCACAAACCCGATGAGAAGGAGACAAGTAGCGACATAGTTATGTTTTCAGAATCTTGTTTAGGATTACCCTGTTCGTTCCTTGTCTTCTACTTTACAAACCTGCAGTCCTGGAAAGTCCAGAATAAATATTGGATGGATATAGAAAAGATGATGCGAGCCGCAGATGTTTCTCAAATATTTATTAAAAAGTTTGAACACTAATAAAAGTATACATATTTTTCACAAATGAAGTAGATACATGTATAATTCCTTGAATAAAGTTGGCACATATTAACTTTTGGCTATACATTACTGTGAAAGTATCCATTTCGTAGAAGGCAGTGATTAATTGAAAAAAATATTATCTAATCTGCATATCCACAGTTAGTTGTAGAAGAGAAAGTATATCAAAATAGTGCAACTATTAACTTGCAGTAGTTGAACAGTAAAGTGCTTCAGACTTTTGTTATTGTACCACCCACAAACTATGTAAGGTAAGTATCACTTTTTCTACTATCAATCATAACCGAAATCATAATATTTCAATAAAAACTTCAACGAAATGGAGGTAACAAGTAAATTATTTATATAAATTGATACTCTACTCTAATCTACACACACGTAGGTTCTTGCTTAGCTATCATGTTAATTTGGTCCACAGAAAAGGACATTTTTAGGCCTATAGAAAGATTTCATACCTCTAGTATATACAGAAGAAATGCACAGAACGGTGTATAGACTTGTAGCTTTGATTCACATATCGTAAATACAATACTTAAGCTGTACACTCACTGAGGGGATCCGACGCGAAGGAAACCGTGGGCATATTTGTCATTTGCTCAGGTAAAACATAGCACATGGCTTTCCTTTGCGTCACTTTAGTGCGCTTGCTAGTATTAGAAAAGGAAGCCAGGGGAATAGCTTCGCATTTTTTCTCTTCGCATTCCCCTACCTCAATGGGCGCGCACCTTTGGTTGTCCAGAAGAAAAGTTTAATATCCTTACACATATTTGCTTGGAAAAAGAAAAAATAATTGTAGATATACACTTATACAACTTTATCATTGAATATATGTTTTTGATAGGTACGAGGTCATCTTTTGAACATGGGAAAGAACGTTTTGAGACAGTAACATTACTACATGCAAGAATTGTTGATCCTACACAATTGATCATTTTTGCTTTCAGTGATGGTGCTTTGTTATATAGTAATCACAACGTCTTTATACATATATAGTACACCTATGGCATCAACTTGATGCTAATTCGACTCTTTCATCAATAAATAGGCATATTATATCAATAGCTGTTTCCTTTGGAATTGATCAAACTAACAAAAGTCATTCATTATACAGAAATTGACTATAAGTCCGAAACGTTAAACAAAGATACATGGGTCACAATCTGAAATACCGTGAGAACGAACTGAACAGTCAACCATCTGTTGATTGAATGGAATGGAGATTTTAGTTTGAAGTAGACGCTTTGGATTTACAGAGTACAGGCTAACCATTGCTGTCAGTTTGATCAGTTTGAATAGATCCAGTTATAATATGCAAAGACATTTCTGATACTCCTGCGTTTTGCTTGTTTTGGAGGCGCTGGATGGAATTGAGCTTGCAAAATGTAAAAACCGCACTTTTTGAACAGGTACCAACTGAGAAGAGGTCCAGAGTCCACGTTTTGGTAGATCTTTTTTATTCCCTCCCATCTTGAGTAATTACAGAAAGCTTTTTACGCTCCGACTATCTTTTCTGGTTTCTTGGATGACCCTGAATAAGAAATCTCCTTGGTAACTCTTTTCTACAGTTAGTTGTTTTTGAGCTATAAGTCATTTAATCTATGAAAAAAGTTAAAAATGAATGCAAAATCGGTTGAAAATCAACATTTTTGATGCTACCAAATATCTAAATTAGAGACAAAACCTTGCTCTATAAGACCATGCAAAGTAATTTAAAATTAATGTATTATAAAGCGATTTCTAAGCTAGTCTGATAGACCAGCATTGATCAAATCAAAAGCTCACCAATTTTGGTCTAACTAAATTAAAAATCGCTTTAAAATAAATTGTTCTTGAAGTATTCTTGAGGGTATTGAATAGCGTAAATATAGATACTTGGCAAGATCAAAAATTTTGATTTAACCTGGTTTTAATCTTTGAGGATGTCAATTTCAAGGATTTTTCAGACATCAAGTGGCTTACAGGTAGTAAGCGACTTAATTTGGAGAAAATTTACTGAGGTAACCCTTGTTCAGAATGATCCGAGAAATGGTCAGAGCAAAACACTTCTTATTGTAATTACTTAATAGGGGAAGGGATCAAAACATGGAAAAGTGGTACGGAAAGATCTGGATTATTATTCTTTGACCTCTTCTCAGTTGATATCTGTTCAAGAAGTGCTTGGTCTATGAAAAAAAATAGCATGCGTTTGTATGCTTGACGACCACATGGTATTAGACTCAACATATTGCATGGCAACTTACTTGCAAGTATAACGTACGAGTAACAATAGTTGTGAAGCTATATATGCTAACATTTCTCACTATCTTTTCTTTATATATGATGGAATGTCATATATACAACTATTTATATACTAAAGTGATCTACCTCCACAGCAGTGACTTCCGTAGTTCATTTTTGTAACTTTTATTTAAAATAAAGCAGGTTTATGACATGAAAACTCAAAACAGGAGGGGTAACCACATGCACACAACTTGAAATAGATTTCACATTCACATATCGATTCTTTTGGCTTTACCCCCACTCTATAAATGTACCCCCCTGTTTTTAGTCATCATGGTTTAGGTACACAAAACAGGTATCACGTGTAAAAGAATTATTAACTACTTTTTTCAGTACATTAGTATTAAACTTCTTGTCCCTAAAGACGTAATATATTAAAGCTTATATTTGAGTCAAATATATTCTACCCTGGATAAATTTCGAATGAAGCACCCTATATAAGGACTAAAGATATACCTAATGTTTAACGTAATGTTTTAAGTTCAAAATGTTAGTACACCAATTCCGAAGCAACTTTGATTATTTATCATATTGCTGCCCAGAATGGAACTGCCATAATTTCCACCAGGTTTCTCACTTTGTCTATGAAAAAAAAAATCTTGACGTGTGAACGATTTTCAATAAGCACAATATACTTTTTTAAGTTAATATTGCTTTAGAAGCCACTTTGGTAAACACGTTTAAGTATTTAGCTCGTAAACTATCAATTTTATAATCTCGTGTACAACAGCTAAACTAATGACCCAAAATTGTAGTGCTTATTATTACTATCTACGTGATATAAGTAGTAATGGGACAACAAATAAATATTATTATTATTATAAAAATTTTAGTAACTTTAAAATTATATTCTTGATCATACATAATGATGATGAAGCAATCATCAAGCGAAATAATTGTATGCTGATACGTGGACAGCGTATGTGATGCGGGAATGTCTGATACCAATTGTTAGAAAAATGCAAAATGCTTTTTGCAAATTTTCATCTAAATAAAAGGTGATAAAAGCCTCTATAATTTGTAGTATCATTTCATTAATTATAAGCGAAAATATAATTACGTGTAATTTTGACTTCAAATTTATCGTAACACTGTTGAACGTGTGGTAAAATAGCATGATAATAACATGATGGTGAATTTAATTCTTGACAAAAATGATCCTATCACATTTTTAAATCAGACTGGTAGTTTGCGAGATAACTGATTAAACGCATTTATAATGATGGTTAAACATCCGGCTTTTGTATAATGACGCTCGCAATTATTTGCTGGCCTGGTTCGTAAATAAATTAGTCGTATTAACCGATCGGGGTCGAATAAAAAAATTACATCCAGTAGATTGACTGTACACTTCGACGTAGGTTTTGTCAGAACCAGCAATGACTTTTTGGACTTTCGTCACGAAAGTCCCGTTTGTTTGGAGCTACGGCACAAAATTGCTTGGCAATAATGTTTGATAATCACTTGGAAAGTACCAAAGATGCAATAGTCATAAAATAACCACGTGGCGCAGAGCATGTGTGACCGATAGGCAATCCGAATGTTCAAAATTGTTTTAAGAGCAAATGTACGGGGAAATCTATGGTGTCTGCAATATGTCTTATGGTTGGAAATGCCGTTGCATGACCGTAAAGTGACTGTTTGGGTCGGCGTTTGCGCCAAAACCATCATTGGGTCATTTTTCTTCAACGAAAACGAAACGGTAGATGGAAATCGATGTCGGTGGATGTTGGCTCATTATGTCAAAAAAGGTTTTGATGGTTACTGGTGTCAACAAGACGGTGCGCCATGCCACACTGAAAATTAAACAATACAGTTTCTGTAATGAAAATTCCCTAGACGTCTGATGTCAAAAAAAGGTGACATTGACTGGCCATCCAGATCTCCAGATTTGACCCCACGGAACTTCTTCTTGTGGGGTTATTTGAAAAATCAAGTGTAGGTACGCCAGCAAGCCCCAGAGCACTGAAGAACTCAAGGCAAACATTCGTACCGCAATCGCCGCTATGCCACCAGAGCTGCTCGAAAAAGTAATGGAAAACGCAGCAAAACGGACACATTCTGTTTTGGCCAATAAAGGTGGCCACTTGATAGATGTTCTGTTCAAAAACCCGATATATAGAAATCAGTTTTTCGTTTTCAAAGCTATTTCATGTTTACATACCGACATAAAAGATGGCGCACCCTGTACTAACATAGAAAAGTTGTCCCCCAACCTCCACCACCTCCTTAAAATTCCGACCCGTCACTATTTTATCCGTAAAAATGTATCAAAAGCGATTTCTATCTTTTCAGTTGTTGGCGTTTTTCTCCACCGCGACTGGGCTGATTTTCAAAAACGTTTGTCCTTGGCATAGTAGTGAATTTTTGTTAAAATTTTATCAAAATACGGGCGGTACTTTTCAAGTTATACACGGCCAATGATACGCCCGATAAACTGACGAAAACTAGGGACATGAGTTTTCGTGATGTACATGTCACATACATCCGAAACACTCATTATCATTTTCAACATGTTCCGAGATTAAAATGCTTCCTCGCCCAGTGGCGTTGGAAGTAAAAGGGCGACATTCTTGTAACCTTGTCCCCTCGTCCAGTCGCTGGAGCTCTCATTCTTTGTTTGTGCGTCCAATTATCCACACGTGCATACCACAGTGGTCGTGTATAGTGACTGCGAAATACTGGACAGACATGAGAAATTTCTACACAGCAAGAGTGACAGAGGTGATCGAAGCTGTTCGTCAAACGAGAAACGTCTCAAAAGACTGCGAGGGAGCGCCGATTGACAGAAATCGAACCCTCTCGTTCATGTGCATTTCCCTTTCGCTCGACACTGACGTCACTGCTGCATTGCTGTAAAGCACAATTTATGAATGCAAGTCATGATTTCTCAATATTTATACATTATGAGCTTATGACAGCTCACTACAATACGATGTTACACTGGGGAACCGCGGACTTTTGACAGTTCGCTATAATACTACTACAATACGTACGACAGTGTTGAAAAATGGCTAGAGCAGTCGCCTTATGCGAAAACCACCGTGCATAGTCAGCTATGAAATCAATTTCTTTTTTTTGGCGTTTGCAAACGATGAGGGTATACTTGAATTTTTGAAAAGGGCAGGACATGAATACCATATAGGTACATTAGTTCAGTGGAAAATAAGAAAGTAGACATCGCATCTCTAATGCGCCCAAAAGAAATAAAATGACCATTCAACGATGATTCCTTGGAAAGATAATCTTGAGTCGTATAAAACCTGATACAGTCCTATTGGCATCACAGGATAACACAGAATGTGACAGGTCACACCCATTTCTCCCTGGTGGCCGGACGGTACCTTACAAAGCCTCCAACGAGGCAGCATCCCAGAGGGAAATTTACGTACTAAGCGGTAGACGCGGACTCCATTCTTAAGTCGCAGCTGTGTTAGGCTAGGAGAATTAGTTCGCTTATACCTACCTTAACTTTAGTGCTAAACTTTTG